CCTGCTCCATGGCAGCTATCCACTGAGAGGCCCAGGGTCCCGAGGTCGCCTCAGCGTAAGTGCGAGGGGTCGGGATGTCGAAAGCGTCTGGGTCACCCTCAGGGACAAGCAGCATGGAACAGAGATGGGGTGCAGCCTCAGACAGGAAAGCAAGCCCGAACTGGCGCTCCTCCAGGAGGTCCGGCCAAGGGCAGGAGCACCCTCGATAGACGGGTGGCAGGCCACAACAGGAACCCAAGAACTAGCACCCACCCCAACGCGGGCACCCCCAGAGTCGACGAACTGCTGCTGCGACAGCGGCGGCAGCGGGAACGACGGGTGCGGCGGCGACGGCAGCGGAGACGACAGCTGCGACAGCAGGAGCGACGGCGGCTGCAGAGGCTGTGAGGGGGGAGACACTGGGGGAGGGGCGGACGGTGAGGACTGCGCCGCAGGACCACCAGAGTCAGAGGACTCCTCGACCGGGACAACTGACGGGAGAGGGGTGACGTGAGACACACCTGAGGGGGCAGGACGGGGAGGGGGAGAGGGAGGGGGGGGAGCAGGGACCACTGGGGAAGGAGTGACCAGGAACAGGGGGGGAGTAATCGGGGGACCGCGGTGGGGGAAGCGACGGCAGAAGGAGACGGACTCGTCAAAGGTCACGTCGCGAGAGTGAAAGAACCGGTGAGACGGCGTGTGGTAGATGTGCCAGTCGGACGCGTCAAGGGGGAAACCTAGGAAGACGCAGGGAAGGGTGCGGGCAGTGAGCTTGTCCGTGCCGGAGGCACGAACGTGAGCAATGCAGCCCAAGACGTGGAACGCAGACGCGTCACTAGGAGACCCGGTCCAAAGAAGGGTCGGCGAAACCTGCGGCTGCTGGGGGTGCGGCCACAGGTTAAGCTGGTGAGCAGCGTAGCGCACGGCGAACGGCCACAGAAAATGGGGTGCACCGGCATGGATCATGGAGGTGCGAGCCACCTCCATGACCAAACCGATGCGTTGCTCAGCGACCCCATTCTGCTGTGGGGAGTCCGGCAGGGTGAACGTCTGGGTGATGCCCTCCGCACGACAGAATCGACCAAGGACACCAGAGGCAAACTCGCCACCACGGTCGGAGTGAAGACGCAGGACTGGGAGACCGCGGTGGACACAGGCAGAGACAAGCCCAGTCTTTGGACAGTGTGGGTAGTGAGCTTGTCCGTGCCAGATGCACGAACGTGTGCAAGGCAACCCCAGACGTGGAACGCAGACGCGTCACTAGGAGACCCAGTCCAAAGACGGGTCGGCGAAACTTGCGGCTGCTGGGGGTGCGGCCACAGGTTAAGCTGGTGAGAAGCAAAGCGCACAGCGAACGGCCACAGAAAATGGGGTGCACCGGCATGGATCATGGAGGTGCGAGCCACCTCCATGACCAAACCGATGCGTCGCTGAGCGACCCCATTCTGCTGTGGGGAGTCCAGTAGGGTGAACGTCTGGGTGATGCCCTCCGCACGACAAAAGCGACCAAGGACACCTGAGGCAAACTCGTCTCCACGGTCGGAGTGAAGACGCAAGACAGGGAGACCTCGGTGGACACGGGCAGAGACAAGCCAGGGGATGAGTGCGTGAGGCACGTCGGCCTTCCGCTCCAGGGGAAAGACCGAGGTGTAGCGAGTGAAGTCGTCGACAAGCACAAGGAAGTAGCGCTCTCGACGCGGCCCATGGACGGGGGCGGGGCCCGAGACGTCCATGTGCAGGGTCTGCAGCGGCGCGGCGGTAGGGGGAAACGAGGAGGAGTGAGGGGCACGGCGAAACCGACCCTCGACACAAGGCATGCAAGGTGGGGCGGGGGAGGAGGGAAAAGCGGGGAACGAACCAGGGAGACCAAGGACGAGACCGTGCTGGGACATGTGACGCAGACGCGGGAGCGCAGGGTGACCTAGGCGGTGGTGCCAAAGGAGAGTCGGGTGAGTGAGGGACCGACAGGAGCAGGCAGCAGCAACCTGGGTAGACGCAGTCGCCTGAAGGGGTGCCCCAGCCTAGGGGGTCACGGTGTCCAGGGTGAACAGGCCGGACACCGGGTCCCGGGGGAACGTGGACAGGGGGGCACCAGTGGCGGCCTCGGTACAGACAGCATACCGCTCGTGACTAGGGAACGTAGTGGTGACGCCAAGGTCCTGGAGGCTGCCGACACCAACTAGGTTCCTGGAGAACGAGGGGAGATGCAGACCTGTGAGAGAGCCCGAAGGAACCGCCGGACAGGGAAGGGTGGTGGAACTGCGAGCGACTACGGGACCGCCGGAGGGGTCAGCAAGAGAAACTGCAGCAGGAACAGGAAGCGGCATCAGCGTAGTAGAGTCACGGAAGAAACACCGGGAAGCGCCAGAGTCCAAGGTGAAGGAAAGCGAAGCAGTGGCGTCTGGCGACGGGGCGGCGGCGGAAGCACCAAGGCTAAACAAGGCAGAAGCTCCTACGCCTGACGCAGCAGGGGAGGCTAAGCTAGGCACACCTACACTAGGCGACAAGGAGTAATAAGAGGGGAGCACACTAGAGTCATCAGCATACATCACATGCAGGGCAGAAACAATGGCATCCATGTCCATGTCAAAAATCTGAACTCTACGACTAAGCAAACTGTGCCAGTTCGGGAGGTCGGGCGACGGGCCGAAACGCTGACGAAAAAGGTCGTCCAGGCGACGAAAACAGCGTGCAGTGGTGTGACCGATCTTACCGCAAACGAAGCCGTGGCGAGGACCGGTCTGGATCTGGTACTGACAGCGCACGCCTCCCGAACCGCCACCCGGCACACCACCACGCGCACGACCACCACCAGCACCAGGCCACCCAGGCGGGAGGGCACTCGCCGGCCTCGTCTACGGCGGCTGCTGCTGCTGCGGCTGCTGGGGTGGCTGCTCAGCTGGACCTGGCAGAGTCCCCTCGTCCACTCCACCACCAGACGACCCGGCTCCACCACCACCTCCACTGGTACCCCCACCACCTCCGCCGCGCCCAGCCTTGGGGCGGCGGCCCTTCCCCCGACGGAACTGCGCTGCAGTGGCGGTCTTAGCCACAGCTGCAGAACCATCGGAGAAGGTGCATTGAGCGGGGGCACAACCCTGAAAGATAGGGACCGGCACAGTACCGCTCGCCTGGGCGATAGAGCGGTGGCGGGTCTTAATAACAGTCAGGGTGTCTACAAAGTCTGGGAGGGTGAGGTCACCGGGGTGAATGCTAAGGAAGCGGTCACGAGCAGCGGCAAGGCGGTCAGGGAGGCAGGTGGCAAGCAGGTAGAGGGTAGAGGTAAGGGGCGGCTGGTGGGCTCTAAGTTGTGCGTCAGTGCAGGCAGCGCGCCAGGTCTCATCTATTGTGCGCAGGTGGGCAGCCAGGTCAGCGACAGTGGGGAAAGACACAAGGTCAGGAAAGAGCATCGATAAGATCAGGCGACCCACCGAGGCAGCAGGCGGGGCGGAATAGCGCCGGATAACAGCGTCTAAGAAAGCCTAGGCGGTGGTGATAGACCTATTGCGAGGACGCTCAGACGGTGGGAGGGCATTGCTAATGGCAAGCTGGGCGACAGCGTCACTAGAAAGCCAGACAGAGCGCGCGAGGGCAGCGGCCGCAGTAGACTCGCGCTCAGCAGGTGTGGGGTCAGCGGGCAGCACAGCAGGGGGGTCTGGGCAGGGAAGCGTACCGTCAAGGTGTGCCGAGAGCGGGTGGCCATCCTGCCGCTGGCCAGTGAGGTGGCGGCGGAGGTCGGCTAGCCAGGCATCGAACTCTAGAGGCTGGCCTTCAGCGTCGAAGCGAAGCTCCGCCGCCATCAGGAACAGTGCTGTGCAGGGCAGGGCAGGGCGAGGCAGTGCAGCGCGGTCCAGTGCAGTGCAACGCGGTACAGTGCGGTACAGTGCGGTGCAGCGCGGTGCAAGGTGATGGAGAACCGTACCAGGGAGGGTGCAGTGCAGTAGCAGGGACGGAGAGTGGGCCGCACGCAGATCTGCGGCAGTCCGGCGAGAAGGCGAGCACGAGGCCGGAAATCGACGGGCAGGGGGCGCACAGGGGTCGGCAGAACGGGCGCGGGGCCGGCTAGGATGGGCCTAAGACGGGCGCGGGGCCGGAGAGGACGGGCCTGAAACGGGCGCGGGGCCGGCTAGGACGGGCGCGGGGGCCTGCAGGACGAGCGCGGGGGCCAGCTAGGACGGGCGCGGGGGCCAGCTAGGACGGGCGCGGGGGCCTGTAGGACGGGCGCGGGGGCCGCTAGGACGGGCGCGGGGGCCTGTAGGACGAGCGCAGGGGCCAGCTAGGACGGGCGCGGGGGCCAGCTAGGACGGGCGCGGGGGCCTGTAGGACGGGCGCGGGGGCCGTTAGGACGGGCGCGGGGCCGGATGGGACGGGCGCGGGCGCCGGTAGGACGGGCGCGGGGGGGCCGCTGGGACGGGCGCGGGGCCAGCTAGGACGGGTGCGGGGGCCGGTAGGACGGGCGCGGGGGCCACTAGGACGGGCGCGGGGGCCACTAGGACGGGCGCAGGGGCCAGTAGGACGGGCACGGGGGCCTGTAGGACGGGCGCGGGGGCCGCTAGGACGGGCGCGGGGCCGGCTAGGACGGGCGCGGGGGCCGGTAGGACGGGCACGGGGGCCGCTAGGACGGGCGCGGGGCCGGTAAGGACGGGCGCGGGGGCCACTAGGACGGGCGCGGGGGCCGTGAGGACGGGCGTGGGGCCAGCTAGGACGGGCGCGGGGCCAGCTAGGACGGGCGCGGGGCCGGCTAGGACGGGCGCGGGGCCAGCTAGGACGGGCGCGGGGCCGGCTAGGACGGGCGCGGGGGCCGTGAGGACGGGCGCGGGGGCCGTGAGGACGGGCGCGGGGGCCAGCTAGGACGGGCGCACGGGCGCGACTGGGACGGGTGCGGGGTCAAATAGGACGGGCGCGGGGGCAGCTAGGGCCTAGGGCGGAAGCATGGGCGGGCGGCGGGACCTACCTACTGCTGATACCATCTTAGAACTGAGTAATTGAAGTAGTAGTGAGAGAGTACAAGTGAATATACCTATGTGTTGTACCCTCTAAGATGTGACCCTATACAGTCTATGCAAACATAACAGATACACATGTTTGACAGGGGGGGGTGTGGGAGGGGTGTACCTAGTTGCGGAGGACTTTGCCAAAATTATACAGACTGCGGGGCGTAGGAGAGGGGTGTGTGCATGGTTGCACTAATCTTTGCACCGTACCGTAATCTTTTCATTCCACAGTTAGCCAGTTGCATTCCAGGGCGTTGCACCTCGGCTACAACGGCATACATGGCCCTGATTATTCTCGCTGCATGCGTCCTTCCGACTCACAGTCGAGGGCAGCAATTTGCCGCACCGCCTTTGATAGTTGTGCCACTAGTTGGCAAGTCAGTAGCAAGGGGTTATCTTGCGGGCTTTAGGCGCGGGGACGGAGGAGGGGGAGGGCGTCGCTTTTGTTTTCTGCCCTTGGGAAGAGGAGGGGGAGGGGGCTGCTTCTTCTTTGCTGCATCTTTCGTGGGGCCACCCCGGGGAGGGCTCTTCTTGGCCTTGCTACTTTTCGACGGGGGGGGGCTTTTCTTGCCCTTGCTGTGTGGTGGCGGCGGGATCTTCCGTTTCCCTTTTTTCGGAGGTGGCTTCGCCTTCTTGCCACCGGCTGTGGGTGGTTTGGGCGAGCTGATCCCCCCTTGGGCGCTGGACAGCTTTGGGGGAGGGCGGGGAGGCCTAGGCGGGGGCCCAGGGGGCCTTGGGGGGGCTTAGGGGGTCTGGGTGGGGTCGAGGGGGAGGGGATGGCAGTGGGGTTGCTGCCTGTGGGGGCGGTGGCCGTGGGGGTGGGGAAGGTGGTTTAGGGGGTGGCGGAGGGGGCTTCGAAGGGGGGAGGACTGTGGGGGAAGGCTGGGGGGGCGAGGAGGGGGACTTGGGGGAGGAGATGGAGGCTGAGGGGGAGAAGATAGGGGTTTCGGGGGAGGTGGTGGGGATTTAGGGGGGGGAGTAGGGGGCTTAGGGGGAGGGGACGGAGGTTTAGGGGGAGATGTAGGGGGCTTAGGGGGAGGGGACGGAGATTTAGGGGGAGATGTAGGGGGCTTAGGGGGAGGAGATGGAGATTGAGGGGGAGAAGACGGGGGTTGAGGGGGAGGAGTTGGAGGCTTTGGCGGAGGAGAGGGGGGGTGAAGGGGAGGTGGTGGGGGTCTAGGCGGGGGCACAGGTGGTGGGGACGGGGGGCGGTTTGGGGGTGAAAGAGGCGGGTTAGGGGGAGGTCTGGGGGGAGGCCTTGGAGGTGGATTGGGTGGTGGGTTCGGGGGAGAAGGAGGAGTGGGAGGAGGCAAAGGCGGGGGAGGCGGAGCGAGTGAGACGAGGGAGTTGACGGTGAAGCGGGGTTGCACGGCGGCGGACTGCATGAAGCCAAAGCTGATGGCCTCGTTGGGGTCCAGGCGCGTGGCCCACCACGGCAGCTGGCAGCCCAGGGGCTCCATGTTCCATGCCTGGCTGGGCTCAAAGTCGTCGCATTGCAGGGTGAAGTCGCGCACGGGGAAGGCGCTGCCTGTGTTTGCCACCTGGCACGTCCACTGGCTCTGCTGCTCGCCGTACTGCTCCCATCCGCCCGTCACTGTGCACGACACCGTCACCAGCGCTGCCGGATCCACTGTAGGGGCGGAGGGGGACGCTGGAGTGAGAGGGGGCGACAGGCAGAGGAAGGAGGAGGAGGCGGAAGAGGAACAGAGAGGAGGCGGGGAAGCAGTTGGGCGTGGAGGGGGGGAGGGAGGAGCAGGGGGGAAGGGTGGTGGGGGGGGAGCAGAGGGCAGCGGGCCAGCAGCGAGGCGGGAGAGGAGGCCGACAGCAGGGGCGTTGGCGCACGCAGAGGGCTCTGTGAAGGCCGGCAGTAGGCGCGAGTCCTGGAAGCCGTCACTCTGCCATGCGGTGGCACGGGGAGGCGGGGAGGGGCAACAAGGGAGGTGGAAGTGGGTGAGAGGTTGACGGCACTCAGGCACTGGCACTTGGAAGGACGGCAACAGCTACAACTTCGAGCAGCACGAGGTTATGCGAATTCCGCATTGCACTAACGATGAAGGACTTGAGCCATTCCAAGTGTGCCTCACCGCGCCCAACGTCTCACAATCCCCAATCCCTGGGCGTCGTCATCCCGCCTCCCCCAATCCTGGACACCCCAACTCGACCCAGTGAGGCAAGGCAACTGCGGTGAGCACCCCTCGCATGCGAGCGTGTGGTCACCTCGTCTGGGCCGCCCACGATGGCCCCCACGAGCACGTTGGGGTTGGGCGCGTTGCGGTTGAGCCAGTCAGCCACGCCGCCGTCGCACGTAACGAGCGAGGTGTTGGCATTGACGGACACGATGGACGCCCCCCGGTGGTGTAGTCGCTGGGGGAAGGCGGCGCCGAAGCCCACCATGAAGGAGAGCCCCAGGGGGTTGCTGCCCAGCAGATAGTCCACCTGCACCGCGCACCCACAACACACGCACGCAGGGGGCCACGGCTGTCAGGGGCGCACGTGCACTCGCAGCAGGAGCATGGGTAGAGGCAGCGATGCAAGGAGGGCAGCGCGTGGCGGGGAGGATGGCGCACCCACAGATGATGCTCCAAGGCTGAGGAGAAGCCGGCAACGCCACGATGCAGCGAGTGGTAGTGTGAGAGCGTGCGTGGGGCGCGGCGCCTCACCTGCGACTGCGCGAAGGCCACGATGGCGGCGGGCGGGAAAACGACGCCGTCGCACTGCACGCTGTGCGCGCTGGCCGCCAGCGAGTCCGCGTGCAGCGCCAGCAGGAACGCGGCGCCCAGGGCCAGCTGCGCGGGGCTGCGGCGCACGTAGAGCAGCCCGGCGGGCGTGGTGTAGACGGCGCGCAGGGGGTTGGCGGGCATGTGCGCGCACACGAAGAGGTCCGCCATGCCGCGGTAGCCCTCGAACGTCGCGCGCACCGCCACGTCCGACGACAGCGAAGCGGGCAGGCCCTGCAGTAGCATCTGGGGGGGCGCGGGGGGCGGAAGGGGGGGAGAACTGAGGACTGAATGATGCGCGATGCGGACGAGAGAAGGGAACGCGGCAGAAACGGCAGTGATAGCGAGTGAGTGAAACGAGAGCTGTTGCGGAGCGGAGGAGGTAAGGCTGTGCAACGGGAAGGGCAACAGACCACGTGCCCTTGCCCCACTGCGCGCCTCACCTGCGCGACGAGCACCTGCGCGCCAGGCAGCTTCTGCTGCCAGCTCATCTCCGTGTGCAGCGAGTCCGAGCCTCGGATCCACGCGTCGTTCGTCGCCAGGTACTGCGCGTACACGCCGTACCCCGTGGCGCGGTGCAGCCACGCCGCCGCCCACGCCAGCTCGTCCTGGTAGCTGCTGCCGTCGCCGCTCGTCGAGAAGCGCCTCGCCTGCGGCACGGCATCGCTGTAGCTGCCGCGGTACGAGTCCGCGAACACGAACAGCTGGGGGTGGGGGTGGGGGGGAGGAGAGGAGAGGGGGAAGGAAATGTGTGGCGCGGGATGAATGTACGCAACGGGGGAGCTTGAGGCGCGTCCAGTTTCAAGTCGTTTCAGCGCGCAAGGAGCGCGCGTTTGGGCCGGGAAAGGCGAGCGCGAGGAGGCGGCGGGAGCAGCAGGGGATGGGGATGATGCGGCGCAGAGAGGCGAGGCCCGCGCCTCACCTGCTCCGCGTGGCCCAGCAGCGTGCTCGCGTACCCCGCGTCCACGGGCCTCAGCGCCAGCGACGCCGCAGCCAGGGCGGCGGCGGTTTCGGCGGCGAGGTCGGAGCCGGGGTGCGAGGCGTTGACGCGGTACGCCGTGCGAGGCGTGCTCATGTCCTCCGGGCGCTGCCAGCACGCGCTGTCCGCCACGGGGTCGCCCACCTGCACAGGACACGCGCGAGAGGGAGGGCAGCAGCGGGCGCGAGGGCGTGTGAGATACTGCATGGCAGCTGCACGGCGGGCACCCCGACGCTGAGAGCACCCGCGCCTAGAGCTGACCTCCCGCGCTCATCGGGATCGCTGTGTGCCCCAACGGGCTGCTCCGCGCGCCACCCATGTGACGCACCGGCTTCACCCTCCCCCTCCTTCCCTCGCCCCTCCCCCCCCTCACCTGCGCCCACAGCTCGTTCATCCCCGTGTGCGCCTTCACCAGGTAGTCCGTCGACCACCGCAGCGCGTTGCGCGCCGCCGTCAGCTGCGCGGCGCCGCCTGCCGCCTCGAGATGGCGGCGGAAGTCGACGAGGCTCCAGGCGAGCATGGTGGCGGCGAAGGCCGCCGGCAGCCCGTACTTGACGGCGCCGCCGCCCTCGTAGTAGCCGCCCTCCAGATCCACCTGGGAGGGGGGGGAGGGGCGGGTGGCGCAGAGGAGGGAAGGAGAGTGGGATGTGAGGGGGGTTGAGAGGGCGAGGGTGAGACGGGTCCGGTGCTGGGAGTCATGAGGAGGGGGATCGGACATAGAGCAGTGGGAGGAGCGCATCGGCGCCGTGCGCCTATCAACTCTCGCTGTATGCGCGCGCTCCCACCTGCTGCGCCGCGCCATCGCCGAGGCCCGAGTTGTTGCGCCACGCGACGCCGGTGGGCATGCTCGCGCCGGCACCGCTGATGCGACCCGAGCGCTGCGCGTCGAAGAAGAGAATCGCCTTGGCCAGCGCGTCCGTGTAGTTAAACGACGCGCCGCCGCCGCCGCTACTGGCGCCGCCGCTGATAGTGGCGCTGGTGGTGGCAGTCTGGCAGGCGACGAGGTGCAGGTGGGCGAGCAGGCACAGCAAGGAGCACGACACAGCCATCGCTCGCCATGGCACGCCTGGCGTGGCCGCCATCCCCGGTGCTGGAGACGGCTTCCCCATGGACGCCACGACTGGCGCACCGTGCTCGCGTCACAACGGCTGCATCGCGCGACAGATCGAGGCTAATCACCGACGGACGACACCACATCCACGCATTCCTATCGGGTGCTTGGCGACGAAAGGCGTGGGCGTGCGTGGAGGTATCTTTGGGGCGCTGGGCTGAAGGCGGGATCCTGATTCTTCCACCTGTGCAGCTTGGGGGGAGCAGAAACGCAATCCACAGCGGAACATGGGCCTTCTAGCCGGGCTGCGCTGCGGGCACGCCAGCCGAGACAAGGGACAGACCTACCAGATCCTGCTCGCCCATTGGTCGAGCGCGCCTGACATCTGGCGCAGCAAGGGAGACTGGCAAAGGGCCTTTGAAATGCGGAAAAAGTGTGAATGTGCGGCTGAAAGCGTGCGATATGCATTTCCGGATTAGTGTAACGCGGCGCCATCAGCAAGTGTAGAATATTGATAGTAGCGAGGAAAACAATACAATGAGCCAACATGAAAACAAACCGAGAGCATGAGTATAGCTAGGCTTGGAGCACATAGTCAAGGCTCGGCAGAGCTGAGGTGTGTGGCTGCAGAGTGTAAAGGAAACATTTTTTCCTTATTGAATCTCACTAACATCGAGTACAGCCCTGACTTTCGGAAGTCCAGGCTCGGCCCGACAACCCAGGTCCCAAACTACGTTCGAGACTCCAAGCCTACGCGTGGCGTCGCATCCGACACTTCCAAGCCCCGAGGCGCCCAAACCACATCGCGAGTATTTCGTGGACCTCCTCGAGGCTCCCCTGCAGAGTTATATGCTCAAACGGGAGCTTATGTGGAAGTTCCTGACGCATATAGAGCTTCTCTAGCTCTGTAGTTCTGAAAGGAGAGAGTTGCCTTCAGAATTGTGTGTTTCACTAAGTAGCTTGAGAAAGCTTTGGCACACAAATTCATTAGAATCAAGATTACAAATTATGGTACACAAGACAAACACTAGTACTACCATATTGACCCTCATTGTGTTAAAAGGAACTACCGTAATCCTCCGGATATACCGTAAACGCCCGGATATATGACCCTAGGGTCTTTTTTCGTATACTACAAAAAAAAAATGGGGGTGAGTCTATTAAGGAAACGTGGAATTACAATACCCGGGACCTTTATCGTTTTATAGGGGATTCAATTTTTTAAAGCGTGTATCAGACCCAATTTCGAAATCCGTCCATGCTATCGCAGATGTTGATAGATTCCTGCCTCTACCAGCGCGAATTCCATATCGACAGCTGTGTGGCTGCATTTGGACACCCTGGAGCTCAACTCAAGGCTGCAGCAAATGGGAAATACAGGTGGCGGCAGCATTTACACTTCACGAGAGAAGATTCCACTGGAATCGACCAACTCCCATCTTCGATGCCGTCAAGATGATATGCAACGCTAGCATGCAGACTTGACAGACATCGATGACCAGGGTCTCTACTCTGCCGCATCGACGACCGAGAGAAAAGATTCGTGGTCTTGTGGCGGGGCACAACTAAAGTGGTCCCATGCGTCTGCGTCGAGGGGGAGGGAGGAGTGCTTCCCTCCCACGACTCTCTTGCCTTGAACGTGGTGGCCTTTTGGAGGGAACGAGACTAGAGTCACGTACAGCTCGCTCGCCATCTCTCACGGGCCTTGCTGGCTAATGCTTGCAATCTACCAAGCCGTCTTCACTCAGGCACCTCGTTCTCTCGCTCACAGAGCTGTCGCTTACTGCGACTCGTACGCCAATATCCTCGTCTGGATTTATGGCACCCATGTCGTGGGATCCTGGCGTGAATTCGCGACAGTAGAAACCAACTTATCTCAGCCCCAAGCGCAATGCCTCCAGTGACCAGGAGTGGGCTTGCGGCCATTATCAAGGGCCATAACCCACGCTCACAGACGCTTAACCGATGGGTTTATGCCGCACCAGCGCCTCCCGCTCCTCCCGCACCTCCGGCGCCGCTAGTGCCACCTGCCCCGCCAGCGCCGCCGGCGCCTCCCAACCTTTTTTTGGCCTTGCGTTATCGTGACCAAGACTGGCCCGATCCTTGCGCGAATTTCGAAGGCGTCTTCGACGAGGGCGATGCCGAGGATGCGACGGGCGTGGGTGCTGCCGATAACTCCGTTTAAGCTGAAAACATGTCTGACGACGGCGAGCCGCAGATTCCTATCCCCTCTTACCCGACTGGACGCAGGTCGCACAAGGACTGGGAGGTTAACCACGACGCATCCCCCCCCTCGCCAAGGTCCCGCGCCTCGAAAGATCTTCGGCGTGCGAGAACCGTGAAGGAAAAGCTGGCGTGGTTGGATTACATGGATGCTAACCAGCTCTCCACTCGTGCCACCGCTAAAAAGGCGGGTGTCCAGCCTGTTTGCATGTGCAGGTGGATCAAAGACCACCCGCGACTCGAGAAAGCTGCGCCCGTAAGCGGCTCCATGGCGGAGGGCGACAGTCGCTGTACGAAGACATGGAAATTTGGGTATACAGGAAGCTGCTACATCACCGAACCCGCGGGCTTCCCGTGTCCGTCAACCTCATCCGTCATCGGAGCCTGAACTACATGGCCAAGAACCACCAATCAGTCGACTGGAAGGCGTCTTCTCGATGGTCTCAATGCATGCGTGCACGGTGGGGTCTGTCAGTAAGGGTAAAGACTAAGATTGGCCAACGCCTGGCCGACGGTGAGTTTACCACTCGAATTCGACTTCCCTCCTCGGTTTAATGTTGCACGTGTTTTCCATGCTGCTACTGCATCTTTCGCTTCTGTTCTTGTGCAACAGCCTGATGCTTACTCGTCTTCCGTCCTTCCCCGTGCCTCCCATGCCTGGCAGATATCAAGCCGAAGGCCCAGAGTTTCTGGCATTTCTGCCGCAAGCAGATATTCAACAAGGCCATCCCCAACACCCTCATGATCAACGACGACCAGACAGCGTTATTCCTGGAAATGCCAACCGAGCGCACGGTCGAGCACAGGGGTCTCAAAACCGTGCACGTCAGGACCGCCGGTTACGAAAAAGAGCGCGTAACCGTCATGCTGGCATGCACGGCTGCGGGCCGGAAGCTGCCCGCGTACATCGTCTTCAAGCGCGTCCGCCCGCCTTCCATCCCAGTCTCACCGAGTAAGTTGACTCGTTTTTTGTTACCATGCGGGGTCGACATGTTGTTCATTTCATGACAACGCCATGCGTCCTAATTTTAAGGTTGTTTTTCTTGTCTGCACAGATGTCATCATCCGTGCGCAGCCGAGTGGTTGGATGGACGAGCATATGGTGTAGGACTGGATAACCCGAGTCCTTGCACCACATGTCGCTCCCCAGCCTGGGAGGCCTCGCCCCGCCAGCCTGGTCGTGCTCGACTCGTTTCGGGGGCACTTGACGGAAGAAGTCAAGCAGACTATGCGCCTGTTCAAGATGACTCCTGCCATCATTCCGGCCGGGTGCACCTCGGTTCTACAGCCTCTCGATGTGTGTGTGTTCAATTCATTCAAAGCTTCCGTGCGGGTAGAGTATGAAGATTGGTTCGCCTTTGTCGGCATCGACACTTTCACCAGAGCCGGTGAGAATGCGCAAATCCATATGCGCACAGTCAAGCACCACTCATGAGATGCTTACACTTGATGCGTTTACAACCAGTACTAACGCACTCCTCTTTACTCCCCTCCCCCGCACCGTAGGGAACCTGAAGAAGCCTCCCCCCGAGGAGGTTATTCGCTGGGTGGGAAGATCTTGGGCGAAGGTGCCAATGGTGCTTATCCAGAAAGCGTTCAAAGTTACCGGCATCTCCAACGCATTGGATGGTTCGGAGGACCATATGATCCTCCGCCATCTCAAGGAGCAGGCCCCTGACGAAGTCGACGTCAACGACGATGTTGGCGCGGCGGGGGCGGATGGCGACAAAACCGCCGTCCCGCAGAACGCTGACGAGGATGAAGACGATGCTGCCGACGACGACGATGGTGGTGTAGACGACGACGACGAGCCGTTGCCGGACCCTGCGGTGGCTGAAGACATTCTGGCCTGCGACCCGTTTGAAGACTTGGCGGAAGAGCCACCAGCGCCATTGCCTCGCATGACGCTGGCACAACGCATCTCTGCCATGGAGGAAGATTATGGCGACTCGGTTGCTGAAGATATTGACGACGACCAGGAGGATGAAGAGCCAGAGTCTGTAACATGCGGCAACTACGAGTGGGCGTGGAAGATGCTGTAGGCGTAGAGGGTATTCCGACAGTCTTGTGTAGCCCGCTGAATATGTAGTACCGTTATGTGGTAGTGCAATAATCTCGTGTTTTAGGTGCTGACTGGTTCCCTAACTATGTGTGTCATGTACCAGTAGGAAGTTGTTATTGTAGTGCACAAGTGTAGGCTTGAATTCATGAAAAAAACCAAGTAGGGGGGTCCAAACCCATCTACAGCCTTTACGGAGGGTCTTGTTAGTCGATGACCATAATAAAAGACATACCCGCCAAAAACACCCTATGGGTCTTCAATAAAACCGGTCTTATATCTGGGCGTTTACGGTAACACCCGCCGAAATTAAGCACCCCCTGGTGTTATATCAGGGGAGGGTGTTCTATTGAAGAATCCGTAATTATACACCCTCTTTTTGAGGGTTCCAGGAGAGCACCCCCCCTTACCATTTTAGCCCTTCTAAGCCCTGCAACCCCTGGAACAAATACCAATTTTTCATGCAATTTCATGGTGAGCACGACCATTACGCAAAAGTTCAATTTTACCGAGGCGCGCGGCTGGATTCTCCGGTACCGAAAATGACGGGGTGAAACAAATAATTACCTGGAAAAGCGCAGTGGCCGACAAATTTCGTTTCATTTGTGCGAGAGACTTGTTGTGACTGGTTGACGAGCCTCGCAATTTTCGCCTAGCCTATTGCGAGAGTCGCCAACCCCCCAATCTCACTTCTCCAACCTGACACACTCCTGATATTCGGGAGCAAGTGGGCGATTTGGGGGTATTATGAACCTCGAGAAAAAGTACACCTTTTCAGCTGAAACTTGGATGATTGAAATCGCCATGAAACGCTGAGTCTAATGCACATCTTAAAAATTCTTTCCTCAAATATAACGCCAGGGTGCTATAGCCTAAACGCGAAATAGAGCACCCACCCCCCTGATTTTGCATGAATTTTGTATTATACCCGGGGTGTTATATCCGGGGGATTACAGTAGGTAGCGGGAGGAGCCATGGAATGGCGTGAGGTTTAGGAAGGAGAAATGTCGAGAGAAGAAGGGATTGGAATAGAAGAGAAGTGTCAAACATATCTTTGCATGTTGTTATAGACTGCATAGGGTTGTGTCTAAGAGAGTACAATCCACTAGGTTATATTCCCTTGTATCCCACCTTTCTAGTCATTCATTAACTTTGATATGGTATAATGAGTAGGTTAGGTCCCCCCCGCCCGCTAGCGCTTCTGCCTTAGGTCCTAGCCGCCCCGTTCCCCTCTCGCTCGTCCTGGCCCGTCCCCTAGTGCCCCCCTTCCCCCCCCCCCCCCATCCGTCGCCTAGCCAGCCCCGCCTCCTAGTCGGCCCCATTGCCTAGCCGGCCCCGTCGCCTAGCTGGCCCTGTCGCCTAGCCGGCCCCGTCGCCTAGCCGGCCCCGTCTCCTAGCCGGCCCCGTTGCCCAGCCGGCCCCGTCGCCTAGCCAGCCCCCGTGGCGTAGCTGGCCCCGCCTCCTAGCCGACCCCGTCGCCCAGCCGGTCCCATCGCTCAGCCGGCCCCGCCTCCTAGCCGGCCCCGCCTCCTAGCCGACCCCGTCGCCCAGCCGGCCCCGTCGCCTAGTCGGCCCTGTTGCCCAGCCGGCCCCGTCGCCCAGCTGGCCCCGTCCCATAGCCGGCCCCGTCGCCTCGCCGGCCCTGTCGCCCAGCCGGCCCAGTCTCCTAGCTGGCCTCGTCGCCTAGTAGGCCCCGTTGTTAAAGTAAGAAAAGTTGACTAGAACAGAACATACAGGGGCATATAGGCTAATGGGTTGTACTCCCTAAGGCACAACCCTATATAGTCTACTATAACATACAAGATATATGTTTGTATGTTTGACACACCCCCTAGACTGGATAGGGGCAGTGCCTAGTGTGAGAGAGAAACAACTCAGGGTGAAACTACTCGTCCAGCCTCTGAGACAGGGGTCTAAAGACCAGTCAAACAAGTATAGACAAGGCAAGAGCAAGACCAGGGTGGCACTACTAGTCCAGCCATTGGGAAGAGGCCACAAGGTCAGTCAGGGTAATATAAATAAAGGTCTGTACACAATCAAGGTCCTATCAAGTAAGAGGCTACAGGAACGAGAACTAGCTGTACACAGTGCCGCTGATGATCTTTAGGCGCAAGCGCCTTAGTAAAGATATCAGCTATGTTGGCACCTGAGGCCAAGTGTACTACACGAGCCTGGCGACGCTCCTGCAGCTCGCGCAGGAGGAAGTACCGCAGCTGGATGTGCTTTGCTGTGCCCTCAAGTCGTGGCTCCTGACACTGGAGGATCATGGCCCTGTAGTCAGCGTACAGAACCGGGGCAAAGCTAGGCCGCTCGCCCAAGTCGGTGAGCAAGAAGGTCAGCCAGTGGAGCTCCTGTGCCGCCATGGCACCTGCGTAGATCTCAGCCTCGCAGCTAGACTAGGCAACAGACGAAGAACGGGTGGACCTCCATGAGATGGCACTTGCACCAAGGCTAAAGGAGTAGCCCTGTGAGGACCTGAGAGTCTCGGCGTCGTCTGCCCAAGAAGCGTCTGTGTGCCCGGTAAGGACCACAGGTCTCCGTCCTCCTAGCACTAGCCCCATGCCCGATGTACTTGCTAGATAACGCAAAACCCTCTTAGCTGCCGACCAGTGCTGTGGTCGGTGTCTGCCTGGGGCCACTAAGTGAGCCAGGATGCTGAGAGGGTATGTGAGATCTAGACGAGTGCAAGTCATCAGGTACATAAGGCAACCCACCAGTTCTGTGTAGGGGCCACTAGGCTCTACAGCCTCCTCCATAACTGGAGCAGAGAGTCTGTGGTCTACTGGTAGAGGGGTGGGCTGTGCGGAAGAGAACTGAAGGCCGAACCTCTGAAGGACCTGGCGCCAGGGCTGCCGTTTAAAAAAAAACCACCCTGGTGTTATCGTTGCAGCCAGCCAGGCCACATTATGCGGGACTGTCCGGAGTTGCAGAAATTGGGAGCTAACTACGGAACGAAGTTGGGAAATGGATAAAGACAGTAGCAGTCGGGCCCCCAACTGACGAGGCTTTGTCGCCCAAAGATCACTACTCCTAGTGAGTAGTAGTGGCGATCTATGCGATCGACCACACCCGGTTAACGAGGAGTGACCATGTTGACTGCCCAGTGCTAGTGGAAGGGCATGTTGGCAACACTAGACTAAAAATATTTGTGGACGGTAGAACATCACACAAGCTGTTCGACGTGACAAGAGCGAAGAAACTGAAACTGCAAATGGACTGGTGCATGCCCGAGATTGATGCGCGGTTGGTCGATGGCACACCACTTGCAATTCGGGAGCGTGTGAAACGCGTTCGCATTGATTGCGACAGCCAAGTCAGCTTCGCCATGCAGATGCTGGCAACAACGTTGGACGGCTGCGATGTGCTCCCAGGGTGCGACTGGCTTCACACATACAATCCCAACATTAATTGGAGGAATGGTTGTTAGACTATTCTCCCTTTATTCTATTAGCCTACATCGTTTCATTGTCTTAGGAACTTATAAGCACCCCACTAGGGTGTATACACCCAAGTTGGGGGTTGGGTTCCCAACCTTGTTGGGTTCCCAAATTGGTTGGGCTCCCAATTATTGGAACCCACAATAATCCCAACCAAGATTATTGGGCCCACCAATAATCTTGGCTAGGATTATTGGACCCCCAATAAGTTGGCCAACTCAACTTATTGGGGTCACCAATAATCGTGGTCACCTCCCAACCAAACCCCCCCCCCCTCCCTCCTACTCCTCACCTATGTATACGCACTCCTTTCCTAATACAATCATCACTTCAGATTCTCACATGGTTTCAGAGCTTATGGCTCACGCCTCTCCGTCGTTCGATCCCTAGCCACCTCACGCCCAACGAGCCCCTCCCCGTGCCCTTAAGCGCCCCTCTCCGCGCCTTTAAGCGCCCCTCCCCGCGCCCTTCAGCGTCCTTCTCTGCGCCTTTAGGCGCCCCTCCCCGCGCCCATAAGCGCCCCTCCCCGCGCCCATAAGGGCCCCTCCCCGCGCCCACAAGCGCCCCTCCCCGCGCCCTTAAGCGCCTCTCCTCGCGCCCTTAAGCGCTGCATTTTCGGGCGGCGCTCCTGCCGCATTTCGGCGCGGCGCTCCTGGCGCATTTCGGCGCGGCGCTCGGCCGCATTTCGGCGCGGCGCTCGGCCGCATTTCGGCGCGGCGCTCGGCCGCATTTCGGCGCGGCGCTCGGCCGCATTTCGGCGCGGCGCTCGGCCGCATTTCGGCGCGGCGCTCGGCCGCATTTCGGCGCGGCGCTCGGCCGCATTTCGGCGCGGCGCTCGGCCGCATTTCGGCGAGGCGCTCGGCCGCATTTCGGCGAGGCGCTCATCTGCATTTTGGCGTCCGGTCCTCACCATCTGCGCCGGCCGTCGCCTTTCGCATCGGCGCCCGAAGAAGGCTTCGCGTCGCGCAGCTCGTTTAAGTCGCCTACGGCGACTTAAGAGCTGCGCTCCGCGCACCCGTCTTCTTCCTCCCCCCCCCCCTTCCTCCCTCCCCTCCTCCCCTCCATCTCTCCCCCCCCCCCCCCCCCTCCCCTCTCCTCCTCTCCTCCTTCCCCACGAACAGCAGCAGCCGCATCCTTCCTCAATCAAACGCAGCAGCCGCATCAGCAACCGCAACCGCACTCTCCACCGGCCTTCACCTCCTCCCCACTCCCTTCATCAGCCGCAGCAGCCACATCTCCCCCCTCCACCTCCCCCTACTCCCCTTCCTCCCCCCACCAGCTGCAGCAGCCGCCTCATCTCCAGCAGCCGCACCATCAGCAGCAGCAGCCGTATTTCCCCCCCCCTCCCCTCCCTCCTCCTTCTCCCCTCTCCACTCATCCCCAGCAGCAACAGCAGCAGCATCCGCAATCGCACTATGACCACCGAAACACTCGCCGTCGACATCTCCACCATCGAAGTCCTCGAGCTCATCGACGACGCCGTCCCTGTCAACTGGGCTACCTTTGCCCAGAGCCTTACCAATGTCCTCGGATCCGCTATCATCAACGACTACTGCCTCCTCGACATTCTCCTTGGCAATGACGCAGGGCAGCCCCCCGAATGTCCCGCTGATGTCTCCCCTGCACCTCCCGCCCCACCCCCGGCCCCCTCGGGACCGGCCCCCACCAAGCCCTCTCCACTGGTCTACACCGACGACCCTGATCGCTGGGCTCGCGTGCAACACCAATATGACAAGGACTTTGCGGAGTACACTCTCCTCCATCACGCGTATGACGCAGAGCAAGCTGCGCATGACACCGCCAACACACTCCTCCAACAGTACAAGGACGCCACGGCTAAGTATGCTGACGACTTTCGTGAGTACCGTCGTCGCCACTCTGCCTGGAACGTTGCCAACCGCAAATGTCTCGCTATCCTGTCTGCATGCGTTTCTTCCTCCCTCAAACGCGAAATTACCCCCTCCTCCGCTCCCGAGTTCTGGAAAGAGCTATGTGCCACCTATGACCTCCAGGACACCAACTCTCTCCTAGCGCTCCACCGCGCCTTCCTCGACAACAACCTTGACTCCTGCCCCAACGCCCTCTCCTTCACGCGCCGCCTCCTCACCACTGCCAAATGCCTTGCCGATCGTCGCTCTCCCCTTCCCGACTCCCTCATCGTTTGCCGCCTCCTCGACGGCCTCACACCCATGTATGAGGCCCGTCGCGTGGCGTTCAATGAGGTCCACGCCAGCTTCCCACCCGACTCCGCCTATGTAGCCGCATGGATTCTGAAAACTGAAGCGGAGCTTCTCCGCCAGTCTCCTCCAACGGCTCATGCTGCCCAAGCAAAAGGAGGACGTGGTGCTGGCCGTGGCGGTACTTCGGCGGGACGATCGGGTGGTGGACGTGGCGGGGGGCGCAGTGGAGGACGCGGGGGTAGCAGTGGTTCCAACAGCACCGGCGGCTTCTCCCCGTGTCAGTATCTCATCCGCAACGGCCCCAACAAGGGTAAGCGCTGCCTCCAAACCACCCATGCCACCACTACATGTTTCAAGGCCCTCACTGATGAGTGGCTTGATCGAGGCAACACGGGCACGCCCCCTCGCTGGTCCGCTATCACTCCACCTCCCACTCCCTTTGATGTTCGTACCCTCCCCGCCTATCAGCCCTCCTCTACCTCTCTCCACCACATCCTCGCACAGCACCTCCCTCCACAGATCCTCCAGCAGGTCACGCCCCTCCTTCCGTCCCCACAGCCGCAGCAGACTCAGCAGCCGCAGCAGAACCAGCAGCCGCAGCAGTCCCAGCAGCAGCCGCAGCAGCTCCTGCAGCAGCTCCTCCAGCAGCTGCAACAGTCTCAGCAGCACCAGCAGTCTCAGCAGCAGCCCTCCCCTCCCTCTGCCTGGAGCTCTGGCCTGTCTGCTCCTGCTCCTCCTGCGCAGGCCCCCACCGGACCTCCTGGCTTTACCCCATTTCCCTCACCTGGCTTCATCAACCATGTTAGCCATGCCTCTCCTGCTATTCCTCCAATGTATCCCGAGTCTATTAATGAAACCTCCTTCCAGTACTCCGTGTCTCACCCCACCCCTCCTTCCATTGAGTTTGTCATTGACAGCGGCGCCAGTGTCACAGTCCTTCGTGATGCTGGTGCCCTCACCCCCCTCCCTAACCCCTCCACCATCATTGGAGCCGATTCTACTTTCTCGGTCACCTCCCGCCATACCTCCACTCTTCCCTGCCCCCTCTTCCCCTCAGGTTCAGTAACTGGCTTCCATGTCCCCTCCCTTCGCACTAACCTCGTCTCCCAAGGTGCACTTCAACGGGCCGGGGTCACAACAATCTACCCCGGCCACGCCACCCACTGCGACTTGTTTCACTCATCCACGGGCCATTTCATCGTCCGTGTTCCCATGTGTCCTCGCACTCGCATGTACACCCTTCACACTCCCCGTCCGTCAGCCTGTCACACTGCCTCCACCATCCCTCCCCTCCCCCCTCCCCTCTTTCCTCCGCAACCTCCCTCCACCTCCCCTCCCGCCCCTCCTGCTCCCCCCCCATCTCAGTGCCACTGTCGTGATCTTACACATCCTGCCATCCTCCTCCACCACCGCCTAGGTCACCCCAACTTTGCCACCCTCCACAAGGCCGTCGCCTCCGGGCTCCTCAATGGCCTTCCCCTCACTCTCCCCCCACTCCCTCCCTCCCCCGCCCCACCTTGCACCATCTGTGTCCAGAGCAAGCTCAAGCAGCTTCCTCATAAAAGTCATCCTTCTTGCGCCCCAGAGCTCCTGGATCTCTGGGGCCCCAACCCCTCCCCCACCCGTCAAGGGCACCGCTACCTCCTCGTCCTGGTCGATGACCGCTCACGATACACCTCGGTCTCCCTCCTTTGCACGAAGGCCGAAGCATCGGCCTTCATCATCGCCTGGGCCGAGCAGGCGCGCACCCACTTCGGTCGTCCCGTTCGCCGCTTCCATTCCGATGGCGGCGGTGAATTCCTCAATCACCATCTCTCTTCCTATTTCTCCACCCATGGTATTCACCACACTTACACCCTCCCTCACTCCCCTCAGCAGAATGGCGTGGCAGAAGCTCGTGTTCGAGAAGTTACAAAGACCGCCAGGTGTCTTCTCGTTCACGCCTCTTGCCCGCCTTCTCTCTGGGGTTATGCTCTTCTCCACGCCGTCCTCCTCACTAACCTGTATCCCCACCCTCTCCTCCCCTCCACCACCCCCACCGAGCTGTGGACGTCAACTAAACCCGACGTCTCCCCCCTGCGCGTCTGGGGTTCCAGGGCGTATGTTCTCATACACCCAGCCGACCGCTCACGCACAGCAGGGAAGCTCGCCTCCAAGAGTCTACCCTATGTATTCCTTGGTCACAACACCTCCTCCCCTGACTACCTCTTCCTTCATCCCCCCTCAGGTCGCCTCATTCGTAGTCGGGACGTCATCTTTGACGAATCCTCCCCGTACTACACCTCTCCTGCCTCACCTGACCCACTCACCATTCCTCCTCGCCCCTTCATCCCCTCTGACACTGTCACCCCCCCCTCCTCCCCCCTCTCCCTCTTATTCCCCCACCCCCAGCACCTCCTCCTCCCGAATCTGCTCCCTCCTCATCTTCCTCAGGTGACATCCTTGACCCAGTACTCCCCCCCTCTCCCTCTCACTCCGCTTCCGCTCCATCCTCCCCCTTCTCCCCACCTCCCCCCCCTCCACCTCCTTCCCCCCCTCCTCCCCCACCTCCCCCACCTCCTCCTCCACCCCAGGTGTCTTCTCCCCTTGTCCTTCGCCACCGCCCTCATACTCGGTCCATGGATCCCCTCTTTGGTCCGCCCTTAGCCCCTCCCTCCCCTCAGGCAAAGGCACCCGCTCCAGCACCCTCTGCTTCCACCTCCGCACCCGCCGCAGCAGCTCCCGCCGCCGCACCAGTGCCTGCCCCCGTCGCCGCACCCGCAGCGTCAGGATCCGCCGCAGCAGTTGCCCCGGTCAAGCAGCCGTGCAGCCGAGTCGCAGAGTCGCAGTGTCGCAGCCTCCCCCCTCAGCAGTGCAGCAGACTTGCAACACCACCCTCCCTTCCTCCTCCTTTCTCTCCCCTCCTCATCGAAGACTCCCATGGTGAATTTCTTCGCCTCCACCTCTTCTCCAACACCCAAGCAGTCGCCTTCAGCATGACCGGCGCTCCGGTACTGGTCTTCTCCGGTGCGCCCATTCTCTTCGAGCCGGGAGATTATCACGAAGCTATGACATGCCCCGACCACCCTCATTGGGGCAAGGCAGTCCTCAAAGAGAACGAGGCCTTTGTCCGCAACGGCACCTTCATCGACGTACCCCGCCCTCTCAACCACAACGTGGTCAAAGGCAAATGGGTATTTCGGGTCAAGCTCCTCCGTGGCGACGACCCGGTCTATAAGGCCCGCAACTGCGCCAAAGGATTTACGCAGCGGTACGGCCATGACTTCCTTGACACTTACTCGCCGACCGCCACTCCCACTGTCGTCCGCGTGTTCTTGGACTTCGTCGGCCGGCGCGGCATGATCCTGCACTCGATGGATGTCACCACGGCATTTCTCCAAGGTGAACTCCATGAGCGCATCTTCATGGAGCGTCCCGAGGGCTGGCACCTCCCTTTCCCTCCCAACACCGTTTGGGAACTTCGCCGCCCGGTCTACGGCCTCAAGCAAGCTCCTCGGGAATGGCATGCCAAGCTCTCGAGCACTCTCCGTGCTCTTGGTTTTCGCCCTTCCCAGGCTTCCTCTTGTCTCTTCCTGCGCACCTCCCCCTCCCCCTTCTACATCCTCGTCTACGTCGACGACATGCTTCTTGCCGCTGACAACGAAGCAGACCTACAACAGGTCAAGGATGAGTTGCAGAAGCGCCTCCTCTGCAAGGACCTGGGGGAGGTCCGCAACTACCTCGGGATGGAGATTTCTCGCGATCGTGCGGCCAGGACCATCTCCCTCTCTCAGGCATTCTACCTCGAGAAGGTCCTTGAACGCTTCGAGATGGCCACGGCCAAACCCGTCTCCACACCCCTCCAAGTCGGCCACCAGCTCTCGCCGACAACCACCCACGGTTCCTCCACCAGTCCTTACGCTGAGCTGGTCGGGTCCCTGATGTACGCCATGATGTGCACTCGCCCCGACCTCGCCTACCCTATCAGTGTCCTGGCGCGCTTTGTCGGCGCTGGCAAACACACTCCCGAGCACTGGCAAGCGGCCAAGCGCGTTCTCCGCTACATCAAAGGCACCAAGGACTATGTCCTCACCTTGGGCGGCCCCACCCCTCCTCAGCTCACTGGCTACAGCGACTCCTCTTGGGCAGATTCTCAGCCCGATCGTCGCAGCTCATAGGGGTATGGTTTCTCCCTCGGGAGTGGCCTCATTTCCTGGCGCTCCACCCGCTCCTCCTCGATCGCTCTCTCCTCTTGCGAAGCAGAGCTCTACGCCATCACCATGGCGGCCCAGGAGGCGCGGTGGCTCAGCTTCCTCCTCGCTGAGCTGGATGCTCCCCAGCCCTGTCCCACCATCTGGTGCGACAATGCCAGTACTATCCACCTCACAAAGGAAGCCGTTTTCCATGGTCGCTCCAAACACATCGAGCTCCGACACTACTTCGTTCGTGAGCTCGTCCAGGCTGGACACCTCACCGTGCGCAAGATTGACTCTTCAGCCAACCTTGCCGACATCTTCACCGAGGCCCTCCCTTGTCGTCCCCATGCGGCTCTCCTTCGCCTTCTAGGTCTTGCCCCTCCCTCACAGGGGACTACCTGATTCAGGGGTTGCTTCTCCTCCCCTTCCCAAGACTTATGGCACTCTGTAGGCTAAGGGGTTGTGTTAGACTATTCTCCCTTCATTCTATTAGCCTACATCGTTTCATTGTCTTAGGAACTTATAAGCACCCCACTAGGGTGTATACACCCAAGTTGGGGGTTGGGTTCCCAACCTTGTTGGGTTCCCAAATTGGTTGGGCTCCCAATTATTGGAACCCCCAATAATCCCAACCAAGATTATTGGGCCCACCAATAATCTTGGCTAGGATTATTGGACCCCCAATAAGTTGGCCAACTCAACTTATTGGGGTCACCAATAATCGTGGTCACCTCCCAACCAAAACCCCCCCCCCTCCCTCCTACTCCTCACCTATGTATACCCACTCCTTTCCTAATACAATCATCACTTCAGATTCTCACAATGGTGACATTCGTTTGAAGTGGGGTGGCGAGTGGCGATGGCTGCCAAAGTAGAAAACCACCCGACCCCCAGTCAACAATCGTTAACCAAGTGACGATCATGCGTGTGATGGCACGAGGCGTGGATGTCCACGCCGTCCGATGGATCACATTTACGGATGTGGCTGAATCGAACGACTGTGAGAAAGTGTGTGTTGCTGTACCTGAGGACCTGGCGAAGATCATGCGCAAGTATGATAAGACTTTTCCAGACGACCACACGATCACACTATTGAGTTGGAACCTGGTGCGCAACCGACCGTCTGATCCCAATGGAGGCTGAGTTAGCCAGAACTATAGGAGTTGCGTACTCAACTGGATTATCTGGTAGAGAAAAAAATCACCCGCCCGTCCAAGTCACCATACGTCGCCCAGATTCTCTTCACCCCCAAAAAGGATGGAGGGATTCAGATGTGTACCGATTATCGCGCGCGCACTCATCAGGTCTCATCACCCGATTCCGCGAGTCGACGACCTCATCGACCAACTTCGCGGGGCCAAGATTTTCTCCAAGATTGATTTGCGAGGGGGTTACCACCAGATTTGTGTCTTCGAAAGTTACGAGTATACAGTGATGCAGTTTGGGTTGACGAACGCACCCTCAACTTTTCAACTGACCATGAACAAAGTCTTCCGACGCTACCGGACAAGTGCGTCATCGTCTACCTTGATATCCAACTGTACAACAAAATTCAGGAGCAACATTTGAAGGACCAGGAAGCAGTTTTTACCCACGACGATCAACACCGACTCATCACCAAGGGCTCTAAGTGCAAGTTCTTAAAAGAGGAGCTGGAATTCCTGGGCCACGTCATCTCTATCGAAGGCATTAAAATTGACCCGAAGAAAATCAACACCATTTGCAACCGGAAGCCGCCTACTAATGTCTAGGATTTGCAGAGTTTTCTGGGGTTCGTCAACTACGTGCACCATTTTATACCAAAAATGGCGGGGTGAACTGCCCCGCTAACCGACTTGCTATAGAAGGAGGTTTTTTATGAGTGGGGAGAGAGGCAGAAAGCTGCGCTTGACCAAATTAAGACTTTCCTCATGACACCACCCGTTCTTTCTATCGTCGAGCGTGACCGCCCGTACGAAATGGTAACGGATGCCTGCGGTACTGTTACGGGACTTTGGCGACGGCCTTTAGCCAATTGAATACAACTCGCGAAAACTCCAAGGCGCTGAACGGAATTATGTAGTTCATAACAAGGAAATGCTCGCGACCGTCAACGCCTTCAAGTCCTAACGCTGCCACCTATTAGGTGCCAACGTTACCGTCCGAACTAACCACAAGTCCTTACAGTTCCTCCGAGCCCAACCGACCCTCAATCCACGTCAGATTCGTTGGCTCGAATGCCTCAAGTCCAATTTCCACTACGGCATCACCTACAGAAAAGGGGCAAATAATATTGCCAACGCCCTTTCCCGTCCTACAGCCCATATTCCCGCCATACTAATCGCCCAAGCCAATCTGCTTCTAACTGGACTATTTACCCACTTTTCAACTCTAACCGCCAACAGGTGCTAACCACTCAACGAGGTCAATACCACATAACCTACCGACTCTTCCAGGAAATACAGGAGATTCATGAAGCTAACCGCTCTGGACATTTCGAGGTTGATAAAACCTTGAAAATGCTCCAACGTCATTATTACTGGCCGAATGCAAGCCATGATGTACAGCAATACATGGCATCATGCCCCACCTGCCAACTCATGAAATCCTCTTGCCAAAAGCCAAGATTATTGTAACCGTTAAAACCACCCACAAAGCCCTGAACAGACGTATCCATGGACTTCGTGATAGGACTGCCGGTCGGTGCATCCCAAAATGATGCCGTACTTGTGGTCGTTGACCGACTCACGAAACAGGCTCAACTTGCGCCCTGCTGAACGACGATCACAGCCGAGCAAACTGCCAAGCTATTCATCTCGACCGCCGTTCGCCTGCTCAGAATCCCGAAGGCGATCGTGAGCGATCGTGACCCCAGATTTACGTCAAACTTCTGGACAGAAATGTGGGAACAGTAAGGTACACCTCTCTAACTATCCACGACTTACCACCCACAGACCGGTGACCAGACTGAACAAACAAACCAGACCATCGAGCATCTGATACGGACAACTTGTACCAACACGACTCAATGGGAAGATTCTTTTCCCTTTATCGAGTCCGCATACAACAACGCCCCTTCGTCCCCGTTCTACCTGAATTATGGTCTAAACCCTACGACTCCCACTACACCCTTATATGAGTGTCCCCCCCCCACGGTCACAACTTTTCGTCAAGGACTTAAAGACCGCACAGAAAAACGCTATCGAGGCTAATTCAAAAGCCAAACTTAATGCCGGACGATAAGCTGACAAGCATAGACGGGATTTAATCCTGTCTCCTCGGCAATAAGTCCTGCTTGACACTAAGAATTTAGGGTTGAGTTTACCTCACAATCTCCACCCGAGATTCTGTGGACCCTTCCAAGTTGTTCGGATGGTGACACCCGTCACTGCCAAGTTACTGTTACCAGACGACTGGCGCATCCACGAGTCATTCCACGTCAGCCTTGTTCGACAATTTGTCACGAACAGTTTGATCTCGACCGTCAGCAACTTTGTCCATCGATTGGACCCGTCCCTAAGCCAAACACCGAGCCTCAACAGATTATCTCGCACAGAATCCACCGAGAACACGGTCAATGGGTTTTGGAGTTTCTCGTTCGCTAGGTTGACCGAACGTGTGACGACGACATTTGGGTCCCAGCAGCTACCCTCGACAACCACCCGCTAGTGCAGGCCTATTTACATGATCGGGCTGCTCCAGATGTGGGTAGTCTCCTCTAGGAGGGTGGACGGTGTAAGGAAAACAAATTTTCCTTAGCAAGCCTCGCTAACATCGAGTACAGCCCAGACTTTTGGAAGTCCAGTGTCACAGGATCGAATGTGTCGAGGAAAGGTTGCACTATCGATCAGCACAAGGCGCTTTTATACTTCCAAAGTACATCAGGTAACCAGGTTTATCTTATCCAAGGGAATAGACCCTTCTAGAAAATAAAATCACCCTGCGTATAGCCACGCGAGGCTATTGGCTTTAAGGGATTACGGCAGGATTACGCTAGATATAGCGTACCAGTACATCCCGAGCCTGGTCGGTGATATAATGATAAAAACAGGATAAACCAAAGGTGTATGAAAAAGGGGAAATAGGAATCCAAATGGAATGAGAGAAAAACCAAATGGAGCAGGATAAAAAGAGGAATGGAATGGAAAGGGAATATGGAAAGGAGAAGAGAATGGAACGGGGTCGTGCTCTCACACTTCCCCCCCTCAAAGCTGGATGGTAGACGTAACAACTTGCTTGACAAGGTAGTCGCGAAGAGGACGACGAGCGTGGTCCATCTCGGATTTAGAGACCCAGCTATCCTCTGAAGGATCATAACCCTTCCAATGGATGAGAAGCTCCACGGTGCCATTTCGTCGACGGCGGTGAGCAAGCACGGACTCGACCTCGTACTCGGGTTCATCATGGACGAGGACGGGCAGCGGCGGCGGCGGTTGGCATCCAGAGAAGATCGCGTTGGGATCTCGGTAGGGATTCAAGAATTGGACATGGAAGGCGTTGTGAATCTTCCAGGTAGCTGGCAGGTGTAAGCGGAAGGTAACAGGTTTGACCAGTACTTCAACGAGAAAGGGCCCGCAGAAGCGAGGTCGCATTTTGGATGGGAGATGGCTGATGTCAAGATTGCGCGTGTCAAGCAGTACTCGATCTCCCACGGTGATGGTGTGGTCTGTGCGGTGGCGATTGGCCTGGCGCTTTTGTTGTTGCTGAATGTCGAGAAGGCGCTTGTGGGTCCGATCCCAAAGTTTGTGCATAGTCGTAATGAAATTATGAGTGGGTTGGACTGTGGCTGGTATGTTTGGCTGTTGAGGTGTGAGTGGGTGGCGTCCGTAATAGAGGAAGAACGGCGTCTGTCCAGTAGCGGCGTGAGTGGCATTGTTGTAGGCAAACTCCAGGACGGGCAGATGCAAGTCCCATTTGGAGATTTCGTCCTTGCAGGCTACGCGGAGGAGTTGCTCCACAATTGGGTTGAGGCGCTCGGTCTGTCCATCTGTCTGCGGATGGTAGGCGGATGACATGGCGAGTTTGGTCCCGAGCAGAAACATCAGTTCTTTCCAGAACTTACTGGTGAACTTAGGGTCTCAATCGGAGATGAGTGTGGTCGGAATGCCATGTTGTGAGATGATGTAGCGCACAAAGAGTTGTGCCGTCTCCTCGGTGCGTGCTGTCATTTGTGTCGGGATGAAGTGTCCCATTTTTGAGAACTTGTCAATGACGACAAGAATCGCGTCATAACCGCTTGTGGTAGTGGGTAGCCCGGTGATGAAGTCTAGGCTGACCACTTGCCATGGCTGTTCTGGGACAGGAAGAGGCTGTAGTAGACCCGCCTTTTTCTGCTTGCTGCTCTTCATCCGCTGACATGTAGTGCACGAGGTGACGAATTTCTGTACGTCACCTGCCATGTGGGGCCAGTAGTAGTGTTTGGCGATACTGGTGAGCATCTTGTTGCTACGGAAGTGTCCTGCGTACAGGACGTCGTGGTATTCTTCGAGTAGTAACTGGCGCAATGGAGGGTAATTAGGTACCCAGATCTTCGTTGATCCTTTCCGGTACGCGATGTCGTTGTCCCACTGTAGCAGATGTCGCTTTTCTGCCAAGGGAATTTCGGGGTCGATGGTGTACCCGTGCGTGAAGAGTCCCTTGAGGAGTGGATTTATCCCTTCAACTTGGATCGCGGCAACGTGTGCAGGCCGGCTAAATGCATCGGCTAAGTTTTTATGGTCAGGCGTGTACACGATGTCGTAGTGGAAGTGTGTCTCGAGGAAGTCGATCCACTTAACCCGTCGCCTGGAGAGGCTTGGTTGTGTCTTCAAATATTTTAGGCTGCAATGGTCTGTGTAGACTATCGTCTTGCTTCCTTCGAGATAGCATCTCCACGTTTTGAAGGCGATGATGATAGCCAGGGCCTCCTTGTCATGTATCGGGTAGTTGAGTTCTGCCCCGTGTAGTTTCTTGCTGAGATAGGCGATTGGTTGCAGTCCATTCCCCTGGTCTTGCATCAAGACTGCTCCCACTGCCTGGTCGCTAGCGTCAGCTTCGATGACGTAGTCGCGTTCGGGGTTTGGCAAAATGAGTACGGGTGCGGACGTGAGTGCTTGCTTCAGCTGCTCCACGGCTTCCTGGTGTTTTGGCTCCCATTTGTAGGGCGTGTTCTTTTTCAGCAGATTCGTGAGTGGCGCGGCAATTTTCGCGTATTGCGGCACGAACCTGTTCTAGTAGTTAGCGAAGCCATGGAACTGCTGTAACTCCTTCACATTCTCGGGTTTCTTCCACGTACGCACGGCTTCGATTTTCTTGGGGTCGACGTGAACTCCTTGAGCGCTTACGATATGTCAGAGAAATTGGACTTTCTTGAGGGCGAAGTCGCTCTTGGATAGTTTGACGTAGAAGCGTTCGCGTCGAAGAATCTCGAAGATGCGTCGTAAGTGCTCGGCTTGTTGTTGCATGTCGCACGAGTAGACGAGAATGTCGTCCAGGTACACCACCATGCATTCGTCCAAGAGTGGGCGTAGGATGTGATTCATCTCTGCTTGGAATATTGCAGGTGCGTTGGTGAGTCCGAATGGCATCACCAGATACTCGTACGATGCGTACAGAGTTCGAAGGCAGTTTTGTGAACAGAATCGTCCGCCATTCTTATCTGCCAGTATACGGACCGCATATCTAATTTTGAGAATACCGTGGCTCCCCGAAGCTGGTCGAGCAGATCATCGATTCGTGGAATCAGGTACTTGTTCTTGATGGTCTGCTTGTTGAGAGCTCGGTAGTTGATGCACATGCGGAGGCTTCCGTCCGGTTTCTGTGTGAAGAGGACTGGGGCACCATATGGTGAAGTTTCATGGTCGGATGAGTCCTTTGGCGAGGAGATACTCGATCTGCTTCTTCATGTCGGCTAGCTCGGTGGGGCTGAGCCGATATGGTGCTCGGAAGGCCGGCTTCAAACTTGGTTCCTCCACGATCTCATGTTGGTGCGTTCGGTATGGCGGTAGCTCGTCCGGGAGGTCATCAGGGAGAATGTCTTGGAACTCCTTCAGTAATTCCTTGATTTTTCCTGGAGGTTCCAAGGTCTTCTCTCCGTCGGTTTCCACCTCTGTCGCTATCGCCAGGAATCCGGTGCTGGTTTGCTTGACGTCCTTCTCGAATCTGGCGAGTGTCTCTACTGGGATGTCTCCTGTATCGTCCCAGTTGGGTAGCTGGACTCTCCTTCCTTTGTTGTAGATGCTTGCGGTGCGGTTCACCCAGTTGATCTCGGGGTTGAATCGTTTTAGGAAGTCTCGCCCGAAGATCAGGTCAAGCCCTTTGATGTTGGTGATGGGGAGTGCAGGTTTCCAGCGCAGTGGCCCGATTTGTAGGTGTAGCACTGCTTCGCCGTATACTGGTAACTTGCTGCTGTCCACCATCGTTGCAGAAAACGCTGATGGCTTGTACTCTTCTCGAAGTCGGTCGATGGTTGCCTTGTCACATACGGTGTGCGATGCTCTGCTGTCCACGAGTGCTTGGATGCGTCGTCCTTTGCAGATGACCTCGAGCACGAAGGGCAGGCGTTGTTCTGAGTACCCAAAGATAGTTTCATTGATTGGGTCATAGGGTACATCCCAATATTCGTTGCTTCCTACTCCTAAGCTGGCAGCTGGCCGAGGCTGCTTGGAGAAAGGCTCTTCTCCAGGGCCCGGAGTTTCCGTGACGACTGTTCGTGTGGTTGACGAAGTTGCTGAGTTGGATGCATCCGAAGAAGGAGTTCGGGGTTTTTGCAGCTTCTTGTAGACCCCCAGCTTCCTTTTGAGCTGCTTCAGCTCCACCGACGTCTTCCCTGGGGAACGGGTAGTCGCTGTGGGCTGTTGTCGGGAGAGGACGTTGACTCCGTGGAAAGGTCGGCTTCTTCCTACACTCCTTAATTTGGTCCCCAAGTTCTCCGGTACCGGTATGATCTCCGCAATTTTCTGCTTCTTCTGGAGTCCCTCCCGTAATTTCTCCAAGGCTCTAGCCCCTCGAGAATTACAAGTTTTCATTAAAGCATCTTTATAGGATAGCTTTAACGAATCCTGATAATTTCTTGGGTCTTCAAGGAGTTTCCCTGTCTCGGCAGAGTCCTTTTCCAGCAGCAGCCCTCGTCGTCCTGGACAGCTACAAATGGCACCTGACCGAGGACGTGTTGGCAGCGATGCGCCTCTTCAAGCTCTCCACGGCCGTGATTTGTGGCGGTTGCACCCCGATCTTCAAGCCACTCGACATGGATGCAACGGCTGTGTAAAAGCCACTTGACATGGCTGTCAACCGCTGTGTGAAGGCACATGTGAGGCGGTCCTACACAGGTTGGTTTGAAGAGTGTGGCTGCGACTCGACAACACGTGCAGGTGAGGTCCTTGCCGCTCTGTGCTATTTTCCTTGCGTGTGCTCCGTCGTACAATTCCTGTCTATTCGGACGCTTGCTGTTCAGATCGATGAACTTGTTTCGACTCTTAAAGACTGCCTTATCCACCGCCTTTCCTCTCTGTACCCCCGTAGGAAACCTCATTAAGCCCCCCGCGGAGGTGGTGCTACAGTGGATCGCAGCTGTGTGGGAGGCCGACCCTGCCGAGCTCATCCGAAACGCCTTCAAAACCTGCGGCATCTCCACCGACATTAATGGGATAGAGGATGAACTCATCCCTGCCCATATGAAGGACAAGGCGGAGGTTGAAGTGATGGATGACGTGCATGCGAAGATGGAGGAGAGCGGCAAGAAGCGCCCGCTCTACGAAGCTGACTTCGTCAAGCCCGCCACAGACGAGCTGTCTGAGGATGACAACAACGACGAGAATGATAGCGAGTTGCTGCAAGTTGCATCGACGACATCCGGCTCAGCCGAGATAGCGGAGTCCTCCGCTATGGTGGAGGCGCGACTGACGGAAGCAGCAACAGCGACGACCGCGACAGCAGCAGCAACAGCAGCAGCGTCGGCAGCAACAGCAGCAGCGCCGGAATGGGCTCGGGCCCCTCTAGACCTTGCTGTAGTCTTTAGATTCAACTTCAGTAGCTAACTCTTGACTAGAATTTGAGGCCTGCAAATGCAGCCGTGCTAGAATCATCCCTAAATGTACTTGAATTCTTAATCATGGATCGATTAGTAGCAAAAAGGGGGGGGGGGGGGGGGGGGGAGAGGAGGGGGGGTTATGTACAATTCAAGGTAAAAAAAGCGGGTGCCCTAAAAAAATGAAAAAAAATTAAGCGTTTACGCTTTCAAAATTGTGTATTGTGAATGTAACGCAATCTTTGGCATTGTCGAAGCACACTATTCGCCCTTCTCCAACTGCATAATGGGGTTGGAGGTATTTCTTCCTCCACCCACGTTTTTCATTTTTCACAGCTCAAGTTCAATTGAGTTCCCATCCTATTTTTTTCGCTCCGCCACTCTGGCGAAGTTGAAAACTCTCCTGCGTGGGCAAGCACCCTTAGCCCTCCTCTCCGTTATTCTCGAAAACAATCAGGCGGCCATGGCGGCCAACTCTTCCGCTCATCGGGGTGAAAAGTCCCCGGCCCACGTCCTGATTATTTCGGAGCCCGAAAAGAACGCCCGCGAAATTGCGGGCAGACTCGGCGACAAGCGTCAGGCAGACGAGGGGAACCTCGCCCCCTCGGCCCTTGACCTTCTGCTGCACAGTGGCGAGGTCAACAACACTGTGCAGTTGGAGTCACAAGTGGTTGCGGAAGCTCCACCTACTGCTGACGTTGGCGCGAAGAAACTGCCATTCAGAGGGGCGGGTCCCGCGCGCAAATGCCAGCAAGGCTGCGGGGCGGCCTCGTTCCAAGCGCCACCAACAGCCGCCCCTGTCTTGACCAGCGACCAAGTGCAGGTGCTGTTGGTGCTGTTACAGCAACAATCGCCTACTGTTACGGCGGCTGCAACTACAATTTCTGCTTCGACTAAAAATGCATAAGCTAAAAAGAGGCGTCGCTTCACGCTCGCCCATCCAACATTGCCCGCATCGAGAAGCAGCAAGGCCCGGCTGCTCCAGCGAACGCCAACCTCGAGAGCAACGCCGATGATGAGGCTGGTGAGGCACCTGTTCACAATATTTTTTTCGCACCCACCAAATACCTCCCTCCTCTCCCTTCCTCTAACCCCACCATCCCAGCTTCGTCCTTCGCCAACGTTGGGGTACGCAAGCAAGTGGATTTTTTGGAAGACCTGCGAGCATACCTGAAGCACGCCAAGCAAAAGCTGCGACCACGGCGACTCCGCAGGTGCGCTCGAGTACTTCAATGAGGCGTACGCGCTTATCGCCAATCGCTTCGAGCTCTTCCAAGACACCGACGCCCCCGACCTCAAGACGGCTCATCGCTTCAAGCTCTACCAGCAGAAGAGCATGCTTACCTCCCGCCCTTTCAAGCAGGCCGCCAATCACACCAGACCGTTGATGTAGCGGTCATGATTCATGCTCAAGCCCCCTATGGCCGTGGCAACTCCATTGGAGGTTGTGGCCCAATGGGCTTCGGCAGCAAGTAAGGCGCTCCGCCGAGTACCGACCAGCGGGACTTCTGAGGCGCCTGTTTCCGCTATGGCCAACCGGGTCACACAATGAACACATGCTCTTCTGGTAGGCATGGTTCCCAAGCGCCCGCACCCATGGTGTGATTGGCGGATAGCTCTCAATTTGGTGGACCTTGGAGATGTGCCACCGGACCGCGAGGTGCTTGAGGTCGCTGGCCATCACCCATGTGAGGTGTAGAGTAAAAGGCCGCTGGCCCAAACCCCATGGGGATAGCATGGCGGGCCAAGGGCCAAGCCCCAAAGTGGGGGGATGATAGGACTTGGTGTCATGATAAGGACTCAATATAGTAGGCCCCCCTTCGGGGAGCCTTTTGTATTAAGCAAGTCCCCAAGTGGGGAAGAAGGAGGCTAGATGCCTCATTCTAGAAGCCTAGGCCATGGGCAGCTTAGGCCAGTGCCTTCCTTTCCTTCATTTCCTCGGGAGATCCCATAGTGGGATGACCATGGAAAGAGCCTTGCTTGATATAAGAACCGATATAGTTGATTCCTTTTTGGGGCAATTAAGAAATCGCTCGTGGGGACCTTGGTTACAGTTCTCCGGCCAACCACGCTGAAAACAGTCCTCCAAACAACAACATTTCATCCGAGCAAACCAGGGAAACCAGCTCTAATATTTTGGCCTGCTGTGTGCCCTCCAAACTCCACGTTGACAATGCCGAAAGCTGGCACTCATGGGTTCATGAAGACTACGCAACTATGCATGCGAGAGCACAAAGAACGACGCACAAAGCATGCACAAGTGCGGCGAGGAAGAGAGAAGAGAGAGAGGGGGGAAGAGAGAGAGAGAGAGAGGAAGAGTGAGAGAGAAAGAGAGAGAGAGAGAGAGAGAGAGAGAGAGAGAGAGAGAGAGAGAGAGAGAGAGAGAGAGAGAGAGAGAGGGAGAGAGAGAGAAAGAGAGAGAGAGAGAGGGGGGGAGAGAGATAGAGAGAGAGAGAGAGAGAGAGAGAGAGAGAGAGAGGGGGGGGGGGGGGAGAGTGAGAGAGCGAGAGAGAAAGAGAGATAGAGAGAGAGCAAGAGAGAAAGAGAGAAAGAGAGAGAGAGAGAGAGAGAGAGATAGAGAGAGAGAGAGAGAGAAAGAGGGAGAGAGAGAGAGGGGGAGAGAGAGAGAGATAGAGAGAGAGTAAGAGAGAAAGAGAGAGAGAGAGAGAGAGAGAGAGAGAGAGAGAGAGAGAGAGAGAGAGAGAGAGAGAGAGAGAGAGAGAGAGAGAGATAGACAGGGAGAGATTGAGAAAGACCACGGAAAGCACGATCCGTGCAAGCACACGGAAATTAAGGAGGATGCCTTCGAAATATGGAAGAGGTGGGGGAAGCAGGAGGGCGACTACCGGGCTCACACCCCCTTACCCTAGACACCACCATCCCTCACTAAAAGGTTCTGGACTTGATGGACTCCCGAAAAAAAAAAAAAAAAAAAAAAAAAAAAAAAAAACGCATATTCACGTGCGTTTTGCTTCGGGCGATTTAGCATTCGTCCATTCCAACACTTACGCAGCATTCTTCCCCTTTCCTTTTATTCTTGGGTTCCGAAATGCAAAAGCATCCATGCCCACCCAGTCTACTTTGACGACCCGTTCGAAAGTGCAGTTACTGACCGAATGGTTTCGATCATGCGTGGCTGCCTACGCAACGCGCTAGCCTGGTGGCGTTCATGGTGCACAAGTAGTATGATATTGTGAATCATCGACAGAGGCCATTGGATGCCCTGGAAGCATGGGCCCCCACCACCGTTTCGGAGCAGCAACCATGCAGGAGCGCGCATACATGCAGAGTTTACGCAGACGGCTATCGCCGATCTCCTCCAAACAGGTGCGGCCGCTGAGGTGTTAGAGGCAATGCTCACATGCGTCAGCACCCTCAACATGGTGGAACAACAAGAAAAATGCGACTCATTCGGGAATTGGGCAAGGTGAACCAGAAATTGCAAATTCCGAAATTCAAGTACGAGGAACTCGGGCGCGTCGTTGAGTTGGCGCGCGCGGGTGATTGGACGTTCTCGGTCGACTTGAAGTCAGGCTATCACCATGTTGACATTCACCCGTCTTGTTGGAAAATTTTGGGGTTCCAATTCAGACCTTCCATTCGGACTAGCCACAGCGCCTTTCATCTTCACTCAGTTGATCAAGCAGATTGCTCGCCGATGGAGAGGCCAGGGGGTGCGAGTTTAGTCGTAGGTGGATGATATCCTTTTCCTCTGTCACGCAGAAGCTGAGGCTATGGATACCTGCAGCCGAATCGTTATGACCTCCGCAACGAGGGCCTCATGATCAACGCGAAAAGTCTCACCTTCTTCCAACCCAGCATCAACTGTTTTAGGGCTTGGAGCTCGACACAAAACTTGGCCAATTCTAAGATCGGCCATACCCCTGCTCGTTGCTTTCGTCGCCTAGACGACCTGTTTCGTCTCCGCTTCGGCCCATCGCCTGTCCTCCCCGACTAGCACAGTCTGCTCCATCGTCGTGTTCAGATCTTTGATATGGACATGGATGAGATTAGCTCTGCTTTGTATGCGCTGTACGTTGATGACTCTAGTGTGACCGGTTCTTATTGCCCTGTGTTGCCTAGCGTAGGTGTGCCCAGTGTGCCTAGTTCAGGCGCCCCTGCTGCGTCAGGCGTAGGATCCCCTACCTTGTTTAGCCTAGGGTCCTCCCTCGCTCCTCCGACCTCTGTCGCCGTTGCCATGCTCTCCTTCACCTTGGACTCCGGCGCTTCCTGGTGTTTCTTTCGCGACTCCACGACGCTTACACCGCATACCGCTCCTGCTGCAAATGCTCTTGCAGACCCTTCCTCCGGTCCTGTAGTTGCACGTAGCTCCACTACTCTCCCCTGTCCAGCGGTTCCCTCAGGCTCCCTTACAGGCCTGCACATCCCCTCGTTCTCTAGGAACCTAGTTGGTGTCGGCTGCCTCCAGGACCTTGGCGTCACCACTACATTCCCTGGGCATGAGCGGTACGCTGTCTGTACTGAGGCCGCCACTGGTTTCCCCCTCACCACGTTCCTGCGGGACACGGTGTTTGGCCTGTTCACGCTGGACACCGCTTCCCCCCCGGTTGGGACGCCTCCCCAGGTACCTGCGTCTTTCCAAGTTGCAGCGGCGTGCTCGCGTCGGTCGCATACTCACCCATCGCTTCTGTGGCACCACCGTATAGGCCACCCCGCCCTCACCCATCTCCGTCACATGTCCTAGCACCGTCTTGCTCTAGGTCTCCCTAAGTCGTTCCCTAAGCTCCCCACCTCACCCGCACCTTCGTGCAAGCCCTGTGTTGAGGGCCGGCTCCGCCGTGCCCCTCACTCCTCCTCGTTCCCCCCCACCTCCGCACCGCTGCACATGGACGTCTGGGGCCCCGCCCCTGTCCATGGGCCACGTCGCGAGCGCTGCTTCCTAGTGCTTGTCGACGACTACACCTGCTACACCACCGTCTTTCCCCTGGAGCGGAAGGCCGACGTGCCTGACGGTCTTCTCCTGTGGCTTGTCTCTGCGCGTGTTCACCGAGGTTTCCCTGTCTTGCGTCTTCACTCCAACCATGGTGGCGAGTTTGCCTCTGGCTGCCTTTGTCGCTTCTGTCGTGCGGAGGGCATCACCCAGACGTTCACCTTGCCGGACTCCTCGCAGCAGAATGGGGTCGCTGAGCGACGCATCGGTTTGGTTATGGAGGTGGCTCGTACCTCCATGATCCATGCTGGTGCACCCCATTTTCAGTGGCCATTCGCCGTTCGCTACGCCGCTCACCAGCTTAACCTCTGGCCGCACCCTCAGCGGTCGAAGGTTTCGCCGACCCTCCTCTGGACCGGGTCCCCTGGTGACGCCTCTGCGTTCCACGTCTGGGGCTGCCTTGCACACGTTCGTGCCTCTGGCACGGACAAGCTCACTACCCGCACTATCCCCTGTGTCTTCCTAGGTTTCCCCCTCGACGCGTCGGACCGACAGTTCTACCAACCGCCTTCTCACCGGTCCTTTCACTCTCGTGACGTCACTTTTGTCGAGTCCGTCTCCTTCTACCACCGCTTTCCCCATTGTGGTCCCCCGGTCACTCCCCCCAAGTTCCTGGTGCCCCCCCCTCCCCGGTCGACCCTATCCACCCACCTCCCGTCGGTTGTCCCTGCTGAGAAGTCCGCTGACTCTCGCGGCTCGGCGGAGTCTCTTCCCCCGCCTGTTCCTGCCCCGGTCTAGCCTCCCCTATCGCCGCCGCTGCTGTCCCCGCCGCAGCCGCCTCCGCCGCTGCCGCAGCCGCTGTCGTCACCGCCGCTGGGGTTTGTGCGTTCTGGGGGTGCTGGGGAGCAGGTTGGAGCTGGTTCTGGAGCGGGCTCTGGGGGTGCTGGCGTGGGGTTTCTTGGAGGGAGCCGTGTTGTCGCTGGAGGTTTGGGTGTTGGAGTTAGGCACCAGTCGCAGCTGTCGCCGCCGGTGTCCGCTCTTCGCCTCCTCGGTCTCCCTTCCCCTGACCGCCCGTCGGTGCCTCCCCCGCTGCCGCCGCCTCCTCCTCTGCCGGTCCATGGCCTCGCGTTTCCTCCCCCGGACTCCTCTCCGGCTCGTCTCCCTCCCCGTTCTTCTCCTGTGTCTCCTCCCCTCTTTCCTGACCCGACTCCTCCGTCTCACGACTGGTCTCGTTGTCCGTCTCGTGCTCCTCCTACCTCCCCTGTTCAGCGTTCTCACCCTATGTTGCTGCGCTCTCACACGTCTTGTGCACCTCCTCTCGTCCCGTCTCCTCCTCCATCGTCGCATGCTGTGGCCCCGCCTCTGTTCTCGGACTTCCTCCGTGCTGCGCGTCCCCTTGTTCCTTGTGCCCTTGCCTCTCTCGTTACCGACCTGTCCATTCCTGTCTCGAGCCTGTCGGCTCTTAACGCTGCTGTCACTGACTTCGCCGCTACCCGCTGCCTGGACTACGCCACCGTTCTGGTCTCTGACCCTGTCTGCCCTCCGACCGTCGGAGGTGTGGCTGCTCTTGGCAGTGACGTCCTAGAGGACAGGCAGTTCGAGCTCGCTTTCCTGTCTAAGGCCGCTCCCCATCTCTCTTCCATGCTACTAGTCCTTGAGGGTGACCCAGACGCCCTCGACATCCCAACCCCTCGCACCTACGCTGTTAGGTCTTTTCATTATTAACTTTGATTACCCACAAGTTCACATACTCAGGTTATTCATCCTTGACTATTACATTTTACAAGACTTCCGCTGTCTTACTAGTCTACCATTCCAGCAAAGATCCTGGACCAACACTTGAGGATTTGCCAAGTGTTCGTGTTTATAGTTTTATACTTAGTCTACTACAACACCATACGATTTATTTCAGTGCCTTAGGGAGTACAACCCATTAGGTTATATTCCCTTGTATGCCTTGTTCTAGTCTGCCTTGTTCTAGTCTCTTTCACTTGAACAAGAGGCTCGTAGGAACACGCTCTGACGATATTATGGGGGAGACGGGAAAATCAAATTTTCTTGCCTCGTTAGCAGCCGCTCCGCACCCTTATGGGCAAATAGGGCCTGGAACACTCAAATTCATTTTGCATTTACATAAGACATGTGCGGTATAATTTTCTGAGCCATTGTAAACACCCTCACTTTTTAGTGAATTTTGATATCCACCATAGGGTGTTATATACGGGGGATTACGGTAGGAACGCTAGCGAGGGTTGCAAGCAAGAGCATCTCTAGTACGGTACCAGGCCTGACGTTTCAAAAAAAGGCACTCTGAGCCAACCCCCCCGAAAAAAAAAATAGTCTGAAGGGACTTCAGCCGAAATTTCGGTAGTCTGAAATGTTAGGGTCCAGAACTCAGCGAGTCTGATTTTTTCAGGGTCCAGCACGTACAACCAGAGTCACACACGGGAAACACCCCTACAGCGAGAAACATCCCACCCACACCTCCCAAAAAATCGGCTGTCCCTTGCAGCAACCCCACAAACCCCACAAATCCCCCCAACCAGCAACCGTGCTCATACACTCCTTTTGCGTAGTTGTTAAAAGTGGGTAGCGGGGAAACCTTTCCTAAAAAACAAGGGGGGGAAATCGCACTGCCCACGGAAATCGAAACTGAGGGGAGGGGGAATCGAAACCGGCGGGGAAATGGGGAGGGAATCAAAACGGAGGGGAGGGGGGAAGCAAAAACGGAGGGGAAGGGGGGTGGGGATCGAAACAGAGAGGAGGGGGGAAGCGAAACAGAGGGGAAGGGGGAAGTGATCGAAACGGAGGGGAGGGGGGAAGCGAAACACAGGGGGAGGGGGAATCGAAATGGAGGGGGAGGGGGGAATCGAAATGGCGGGGAGGGGGGAAGCTGGGGCATAGGGCGATGGGAGAAATTTCGCGCCCTTGCAGCGCCCCGGTTGGGAGATCTTGGACGTTAATCGATAACTTCCATCGAACGATTGATATATGTCGAAACGATCGCAATCGATCGTGACCGTTACATTTTGATAGACCAAACGGGCAACTGGCAAGAATTTCCCTATGTACAATGCAGAATTTACTCTCATTCGAATGCAGCTAAAAAGGTGTGAAAGTCTTTCTCTGTTTTTTTTTTTGCCAAATCAGCGTTTCTTCCGTACACTACCCTGATGGAAAAGCGAACTTTGGCTAGGCAACACTTATGAATCAACGTAAATTTTCTTGAGAAGGCTGATGGAAAGTTTTTGGCACATGACACTGAGCAATCAGGGTACCCTAATACCAATCATAGGGCCTGTGTGAGAGGGAGGATGCCTGTAAATTTTGACTTAGCCAAAACTTATGGGTTGTTCGGGGTGTTGGGGGGGACTGTATCTGACAACACGACTTAGTCGAAATTTTCAATGGGATGTGGGGTGTGTGGCAGGCCTGTCGTTATCAGGGTATTTTACCCTGATTCCCTGATTTCATAGGGTATTTTTTTGGCCAACCCTTAATTTTCAGGGTTGGGCTTTTTTGAACCCTAACCTCTTCAGGGTTGTATGTCTGTGAACACTGAGAATTTCAGGGTTTGCGTTATCCCAACACTGAGTTTTCAGGGAGTAACGCGTACGAACCCTGAGTGCGACATCCATGTGGCTCACAATGCGGAAATTTAGGCGAAGTCCCCAATCTCCAGAGACATTCCCCCCCACACGCAACAACCTACAAAAATTGGTTAAGTCCTCAAACATTCCCTCACACACCAAGCAACCCACAAAAATCGGCTAAGTCATGTGTCGTACAGACATCCCCCCTACACACTAACAACAACCCACAAAAATTAGCTAAGTCTATGAAAATGTAACGGTCAAGATCGATTGCGATCGTTTCGACATACTTAAACCGTTAGATGGTCACATTGATCAACGTCCAAGATCTCCCAGCCGGGGCGCTGCTAGGGCGCGAATTTTCTCCGACCGCCCTATTACCCAGCTTCCCCCCTCCAATCCACTTCGATTCCTCCCTCCCCTCCATTTTCGCTCCCCCCACTCCCCCTCCGTTTCGTTTCCCCCCTCCCCTCCATTTCGATTCCCCCATCTCCCCTCCGTTTCGCCCCTCGCATCTTGGTTTTGATTCCCTCCCCCTTTCTTCCTTGGTTTCGACTCCCCCTCCCCTCCGTTTCGATCCCCCCTTCCCCTCCGTTTCGATCCCCCCTTCCCCTCCGTTTCGATCCCCCCTTCCCCTCCGTTTCGATCCCCCCTTCCCCTCCGTTTCGATCCCCCCTTCCCCTCCGTTTCGATCCCCCCTTCCCCTCCGTTTCGATCCCCCCTTCCCCTCCGTTTCGATCCCCCCTTCCCCTCCGTTTCGATCCCCCCTTCCCCTCCGTTTCGATCCCCCCTTCCCCTCCGTTTCGATCCCCCCTTCCCCTCCGTTTCGATCCCCCCTTCCCCTCCGTTTCGATCCCCCCTTCCCCTCCGTTTCGATCCCCCCTTCCCCTCCGTTTTGATCTCCCCTTCCCCTCCGTTTCGATCCCCCCTTCCCCTCCGTTTCGCTTCTCCCATTCCTCGACTGTATTTCGAACTTCCCCCACCCCCCAACCCCCACTTTTTCCCTCCCCGTTTCGCTTCCTCTCTTCCCCTATGTTTCCATCCTCCCCCTTCCCCTCCGTTTCGCTCTCCCCCTCCCCTCGGTTTGATTCCCTCCCCTTTTTCCCCCCATTTTTTATTCCCCCCTCGTGTTGAAGGCAACCCTGAACGCGCTCGGTGAACCCTGGGATTTTCAGGGTTCCAGATTTCTGAACCCTTACAAATCAGGGTAGGCAATTTTTGAAACCTGAGCCCTCAGGGTAAACGTTTTTTTTTATTCGACAGCTCAGGGGGGGTTTTTTTGAAACGTCAGCCCTGGTGTGTGGGGGATGTCTCTTCTCTAGCGTTCCGGGACTTAGCTGAAATTTTAGATGGGTTGTGGGGTGTCTGGGGGTTGTCTCTAAGGTTCGGGGACTTCGCCAAAATTTTCGAGGAGTTGTGGGGTGTGTGGGGAAGTCTCTAGCGATCAGGGACTTGGCCAAAAATTTCAAAGGTTGGTAATAGGGTACAGTTAATATGTTTCAGGGTCTGTACGCGCTGTGCTCTGGAAACTCAGTACTGGGTTAGCGACAACTCTGATTTTCTCAGGATCCCTAGAATCGTACTCTGAAGTGATCAGGATTGGGAAAATGGGTTATCTGGAAATTCAGGTTTGGCATAAAAAAGGGTCTGAAATTTCAGACTAATCAGACTAAATAGTCTGATAAAATCAGCCCTCGGTGCGTCTACCAATACAGGAGGACACCCTTGTGGAAGCTGAGAAGGCCCGTGGTGCATGCAGCACTGATGGCGTGCGGATTCAGGTGTTGGTGTGCGAGATTGCGTGATTGGAGTGCAGCAGCTGTGAGTAGGCAAACTGCAGGCGAGGCACGTCTGACAGCCGCAGCTGCACTTGCCCACATGCCATAACATGCATGGGGGCAGTGCGGGGTACACAACGGGGTTGGATGAAAAGGAGCAACGAGATAGCATTCGGTGCAGGAAAACACAACACGAGGCGACATGAGTGCAAAACACAGGGGAATGGCAAGGGGAAACAAGGGAAGTAGCGTGACTGAGGAGGGGGAATGGCGTGCACACCTGGTTGGCTGACCGCAGGTGGTACAGGACATGCACAGGTGGGGGGCAGTCCACTGTGTCCGTTGACTCGTGCCTGAGAGAGGGGCACAAGAGGAGATGAATAGGGTGGCGAGTGTGAGTAGATTTAGTTTAAATAGTAGCAACAACTGACGCGAGGCGCGCATGATTCAAGCTGTAAACAAGAAACAGGCCCGTGTGTTGAACAGCAGGAGGTGCTGCTGAAACACAACAGGTAGCATGATGTGGTGCTATGCATGTTGCAGAGTGCGGCCCTCACCTGTGCACCCCTCACACCTGTGCACCCTCACCTGAGTGCGATGGCGACCTGGCGCTGGTAGTCTGCGAGCATGACTGCAACGTCTCTCATGCGCAGCGCTGCCGCCTCACACCGCACCAGATGCGCACGCGCTGCCTCCACCGCTGCTGCCTGTCGTGCGCAAGACAGCGGAACAGGAGGGGTAGGGGGAGCAATAGAGATGGAAAAGGAGGTTGGAAGAGAGTGGGAGTGAGTGAGGGATAGGGATGAAGGGATAAAGAGAGACAGGAGGGGTGGGGGGAAGAGAACGAGAGGGCAGGATGACACAGGGAGGGGCAGAGGGATGATTGTCACAGAAAGATGACGGGAGGGAGTGAGGGCAGGAGAGGAGCAAAAGAGGTGGGGTTGAGGGAGGCGAGCACCATGTGCACTCTGCTCAAAAGGGGCTGCGTGGGCCTGTGCATCACATCATGGCATGCCACTGTGGCACTCACATGGCGGCCACGGGACACGCACCTTGCTGATGCCCACAGATGGACTGCTGGATGCACGCCCCGCACCACCTGCCACCACTCCGCCGCCTTCTGCTTCTCTCCCCACCTTCTCTTCGCCCCCTAGCCCCTCCCCCTCCCCCGACCCTGCCCCCCCTGCCACATCGTCTCCTGCTGATTCCCCCATCCCCCCTGCACCAGCCTCATCAGTCACCCCTCTGTCCGCCGTGTCACCCATACCGCCTGTGCTGGCCGCGCTGCCTGCTTCCCCTGCGCGCCCCATGACCTGCCTACCCAGGTGCACCAGAGCAGCGTCGTCCACAGCAGGCCCCGCCAGTGGCAGCGACGGCAGGGACGAGGCAGGCGCGTGGGAGGCGGCGGAGGAGGCGAGGGAGGGGGACTTGAGGCCCACGCGGCGATGCAGGTCCGACAGCTGGTGCAGGAGCTCGCGCTGGGGGGACAGGGGGGGCGGGGGGTGGGAAACAGTCGGGAAGAGTGAGGGGGGGTGAGGGGGAGCTGAGGTCTGACAGTTGGTGGAGTAGCCGCCTCTGGAGACATGAGGGCTGGGGCTGATTGGAGAGCCAGGAGGGGGAAAGGCTGCATGACACAAGCAGGCAGGGGCAGGGGGCTGCATCAATGGCATGCCATGTGGGCAGTCCGGGGAAGGGGATGCACGGATGAGCAGCATGAAAATAGAGTACCCAAGACCAAGAGCACACAACAGAAAGTCGAAGTCAAGCACAAGCATGATGGCGGATGTGGATTGATTAAAAGAACAGAAGCGGAGAGATAACCCTCCCCATCCCCTCATCTCCCATCCTTGCTCTCCTTCTTCCCATCCCTCCTCCATCCGCAACCATCCTCCCAGAACCCTTTGACACATCCTCCAACTTCCGTTCCCCTCCACCACCACCATCACCACCCTTCTCTCCCCCCCAACTTCCCTTCCCTCCCCCCCCCCCCACCTCCTCGGCGGCCTTGTTGAGTTCAGCCCCCACGGCCCCAGCAGCGTCTACCACCACGGTGGCAGCGGCAGCAGCGGCGGAGGCAGCGGGCGCCAGGATCTGCGCCACCAGGCTGTCGTTGAACCGCCGCGCCGCTGATGCTGCTGCTGACGCTGCCGCCGCTGCCGCTGCAGATGAGGGCAGTAGGCCGAATGTGGGCGCGGGCAGGGCGGAGGCGGCAACAGCAGGGGCAGGGGCGAGGGAGGGCGAGGCCATGCCGCCTGCGACGGCTGACGCCTGGCGGATGGCTGCTTCCAGGGCCACCCGCTTGCTGCACAGCTGCTCGTCCCGCACCGCCCACGGGTCGTCTGAGGAAGGGGGAAGGGCAAGGTGGGGGGAGGGAGGAGGGTAGAAGGAGGTGATGAGCAGAGAGGGCCAGACATGCGGCAGTCACATTACATGCACGCTGTGTGGCAGAGACAACGGCATCCCATATGCATGACAGGCAGTCCATGTATGTGCACCGGCACAAAAGCATAGGGCAGCATGCAGAAGAAGTTAAGGCACATGCAGGAGGGCACGTGTGCCTGCAAGCCCACCTGCCGGCACGAGCCACCAGACGTCCCCAAACGTGGTCTTCCCATCAAAGCCCCCCACGCACACGAATCGCGAGCCAACAGCTGTCACGGTGTGATACGCCCTTGGGGCTGGCGGCCCCCCTGCTGTGGTCAGCTGCTTCCATTGCACGGTGGCTGCAGGGGGGAGGGGGGTGAGGGCGGTGAGGAGGTGGGAGAGGAGGGGAAGAGGGGAGGTGGGTGAGAATGGCAGATGGAAAGCATTAGGGGACGGGGAGAGCAGAGACACTGGGTGGTGACACACCCACTGACTGAATAAGTATTGGTGCGCACGCAATGCAAATGAGATAAAAGCAGAGGGGAAGGGTGCATGGGCGGTTGGCAGAATAACAGGCATGCATGGTGTATTTGTACCTCTATCGATGTACGCGATGTCGTTGGCATACATGTCAGTGCGTGTGAGCCATCCCGCCTGGCAGTGACCACCGAACACCAGCATCTGCACGACAGGTGGAAACACGCGAGAGGGTGAGAGTGAGAAGGGAGAGCCCCTTCCTGAGTACTTAAGCCCACTACCTTCCCTCTTGTGCCTCATTATCCCGTTCTTCCTTCAGTTCAACACTTCATACTCCAGTGCCTTGCACCAGCAGCGCCATGCCGGAGCTACCAATGCACAAGCCACAACCATGGGGACCACAATACTCTTCTAGGCTATGGCGGATCCCCACGCCACCCCGCGCCCGCTCCTGCTGCGGCCTTCCAGTATGTGCGCTGCTGCGGGCGGCCTAGTACAGTTTGTAATCCGCGGCATCCTCAAGAAGGCGTGCCATCAGCTTGTCAATGTGTTGACATGACAGCGTCTACAGCTGACCCTGCCCGCACTCGCCTCCGCACCAACTCCATCACAGACGCACCACCCGGCTCGACGCTTCCCATCACGGCCGCGGGCCACACTAGCGCCATCACCGCCGCCACCTCCTGCAACTTGTGGCATTCACGTCTCTCATCAAACGAGAGATCCGACGAGCCCACCAAGGGCGCGGCGGGCAGCTCCAGCACCATCGCCAACGACTCCATGCAGCCCCCAGCAAGCCACATGCGCTGCACCGGGCCCCCGAGGTCCTCCAGCTCTGACGGAAGGAGCTCTGCCCACCCGTCCCCCTTAACATTCGCCACGTACAGGCTGCTGGTCGCCCGCATGCCCGACGCTGGGTGACCCTTACTACCTGCCGCGATCCGCGCTGCCGTCGCCTCCGGCGCTGCAGCCCCGCCCTCACCGCTCCAACTCCCGCCAGCAAGACTGGCTGCGGTTCTGGCTGAAGGGGCGCCTCTGTTTGCTGCTGCTGTGCCCGCGGCGGCGCTGGGACGTTCGGTGGGGCAGGACCGGCGACCTCAGGCGCCGCCGATGGTGCCACCTGCGGCAACAACGTGGGGGGTCCTCCCCCGGGAGCAGGCACCCACGGCGGCTCCACACAATACAGCCTCTCAAACGACAGCGGCAGGCGGGCAGGTCCAGTGGCTTCACCGGCGCCACAGCGGCCCATCTGCTGGTGCCTGCTCCACTTGCCCCTCCGTCTTCGCCCCTTGCTGCTCCAGGGCCTTCATTACCACACGGATGCGTGCGGGCGCCCTCTCCAAGGCGGGGTCGACCTCCCGCCACCATACCACGCGGCCGCTGCGTCTGCGACCGCTGGGACTGCACTGATTTCGTCTGCCGCTGCCAGCAACCCTGGTCAAGTGGCCGCCTCTCATCTCGACGGGGAGACCCACGGGCAGGCGAGCGCGAGTGCCTTCCCCGCGGCGGCAACTCCGGCCACCTCTCCCGCTCCCGCCGTTCCGGCGCCCGGTGCTGCCCGTGGGCGCGTTCCGAAAGGCGCTCTCGACCCCGGGAACTCGACGACAGCATCCCGCGCCTCGTGGAGCTTGCTTCACTGATGGAGCCCACAGAGCCGGCGCCGAACCCCTCTGTCTCCAGGGTCCGCGACGACTCCAGGGAGGAGCCGCGGCCGAGGCCTTGTTCGGGGAAGGGCAGGCGGAAGGAGCAGAGGCGGGCCACGGAGCTTTGTACGTACTACTCAGTTGCGCCCAAGGGAGGAACCAGTTGCTAGGTGGGACGTTGGTCGAACTTCGAATGAGGAAACTATGGGGGGGAATGCGACTTATACCCTCGATGAGACGGGGAAAGGAACCACTCAGCCCAAAGCGAGGATGTTGGAAGGGGGAGGCAAGCCGGTTTGAACCGCGGCACCGACTCTCACTCACTCCACGACGCCCTGCCCAATCTTCCCAACCCTGCTCCGACCCTGCTGTCACCTTTGGACATGGCCTCCCGCCAAGATTTGTTCGCTCAGGTTCCCAGGTGGGACCTTGATCCCCTTTGCCCACACTGGCACGACATCCCCCACGCTTCATTCGCGAAGCGTTCGCCAGTGCCTCCTGACACCCCTCCTTCGCCCGGACCGGATTTCGAACCTGCATGGCGCCTGCCTGTATTTCTTCCACGCCTTCTGCACCGGACCCCTTCCGCGCGGCGTCCCGATTGGCCCGTGATGGAGGCCGTATACTCCAATTCCGCCAAGGCGCATCTGCCCATACCCAAGTGGGTCACACGCGCCGATGACGTTCGCCCGCCGTCAGTCAGCCTACGCGATTTCGCCGATTGGTGGCGAAATGTCCCAACGGGATTGGTGGTGGCCCCTCCAGCACCACTTCTGAACCTGTCCAACGCCTTCAATGCCGTGGAGCGGGCGGCCATCTTCCAAGGGCTACGAGGCACCCCACTCGAGTTTCTGCTGCCATTCATCCGCCTCTCCTATGCTCTTCCGTCACTGCTCTACATCGACCACGCCCTCGAGACCACCGCTCTCCTCTCTGCCTGTGGGATACGCCAGGGGGACCCCATGGGTCCCCTTTCTTGGCCACCAGCATCCAACCTGCGCTCGTCGCCACCACACCTGCCCGCCCCAGCGACGTTGCTGGCCTATGCGACTGACATCACGCTTCTCGGCGCGCTGTCTAGCTGTGCCGCCGCCTTTCAGAGCCTCCTCGCACTGCTCGCCCCCATGGGCCTCCGGCACAACCCAGCCAAATGCAAGGCATGGTCGCCATCACCCCTCCGCTCCTCACTCCTCCCGCCCGGGCTCACCGTCAGCCCCCACGGCCAGTGCGTCCTCGGCAGTCCAGTCGGCTTTGAGGACAGCTAACCGGCAGCCATCCGCGAAAGGCTTGCTGCAGCCGCCGAGCCACACCTGCTCCTCCTTTCCCGCTGTGTCAACCGACGAGCTTCCTTCCTCACCCGCACCTCGCCTCTGCCCTACCTGTCGTAGGACGAGTGGCCCGCCTGGGGTGAACGCCTCGTCCTTACCCTCAGTGCCGCTGCCCGCATCGGCACCCTGCACCTGCCCGCTGACACCAGTGGATCTGGGAGCAGGCCGCTCTCCCCCTCACCCTCGGGGGATTGGGCCTCATGAACCCCGGGGTGGAGGGCTCAAAATCTTTCCTCGCATCCGCCGTCTCCTCCGCACCTTGCCCCTAGGCTGACCAACGGGTCGGATCAGGTTTCCCGTAGGCAGAACCCGACCCGTCGGGTTTGATTTCTACCCGTCGGGTCGGGTCAACCCGAACCCGACATGTCGGGTTGACCCGACCCGACTTCGGGCATACATCGTCGGGTTGTCCCTAAGTTGGCACTTTACGTTTACGCTGGTTTACGTTTACACTAGTTTATGTAGTTAAGTTACTTTTACGTACGTGGGCCTGAAAAGGCTTTACGTTTACGGTCTGCTGGAAATTTTTTCAACCTGCCCAGAAAAAAAAAAGAGGGGAGTAAGAGTTCGTCATTCCAGTGCTCAAACAGTACAGAAAGAGAATTCCAGAGCTTCTAGGGACAAAATCAAAACCATGGCTAAGACTATTCTACTCACTCGGCCCCACCTCTTCACCATCGCCTTCGTAGCAACTTTCCTCGACATCATGATCATCTAAGGGCTCATAATCGTCAAGGTCCACGCTCTCGTGAACGGTCGTCAGCGCTGAAAGTGGCATCCTCTTTTCGAACTCCTCGTTCAGCTTACGCACCATATTGTAGTTGTGAGTTACGTAAACTAGATCGGCGAGCCTCCTTGGCCCAAGTCGGTTGCGGCTAGCCTCCCAAACTGCCCAATTGGTTTCGCACGCGGACGCCGAAACGCATTGCTTGAGGACCCTTGAGGCGAGTTTTGAAAAATGGGGGCATGAGGACCCATTGAATTCCCACCACTGTGCGGGATCCAACTTACCCTTTTTAATGAGATCATGCTCGAGGCGTGCCTTCTGCCCACCAAGTTCCCCTTCCCCTCTCATATAAGCCCGCACCTCCCTCTCCACAATCGTGGCAAGGGGATGCGTATCCCCATCTTCATCAATAACAGATTGCCCCCTATAATAGTCACGGATGAAGGCTTTGAAGATCTCGGAACACTCGGAATCCGGTCCGAGGATCTTTTCAAACAGGTTGGGGGGGGTAGAGGATACGGCCAGCCACGTGCAACGGGCAGTTAATCGAGTTGTTCCACCTGTTCCGCACCGCATCAGCCACCCATTCCTTCTCTCCCTCCGGCAGCCCCTTGCATGCAACCTTCACTGAGTCCTCCAACAAGAACATCATATCATACAGCTTCCCCATGACCTCTTGCGTACCATCGACCTCCCTCAGCTGCACAAAGATCAGCTTGAAGACATCGAGCACACGGGCCACCCCATCCCAGAATTCGTCATCTCGGATGACTTCTCGGGCCCACACAAACTTCTCCTTCTTCTTGGCATAATCCTTCCACTCTTGGCTGCCCACCATGTTATCAAGTAGCTCCCCGGACCTCCAACAGCCATTCCAAAGCGATGAAGTTTGCGCTGAACCGAGTCCCCGCGGGTTTCAGCAGCGCGAGTGACTTGCGCTCACGGAAGAAGCTCGTAATCCATTGAGTGTTCTTCAAAGTGGAGATCAACTGCTGCCCCTTGGAGATGATACCTGCAGCCCAAGGACGGTCTCCAATGTCTTTCATGAGATTATTCAAGGAGTGAGCAGCACATCGGATGAACTGAATCTTCGGATACTCGAGCTTGATGATGTTAGCCGCGCTGACATTGTTGCTTGCACCATCCATCAACAAGCCGACGACGTTGTCTGCTCCCACCATTTCGATTGCCCTCTTCAAGTGTGTAGCGATGAAGGCACCAGTCTTCTCCTCGCTCATGCAATCAACACCGAAGAGGAACACGGAGCCGTAGGTGTTAACCGCGAGGAAGTTCAGTTGTGGGCGGTCCTGAGTGTCCGTCCATCCGTCAGTAGCGATACAAACGCCAACTTCGCTCCATGAATCCATTATCGGCTTCACAGTGGTCTCCGTATTTGACTTGCACTCCTGGAGAAGCCGGCCCATGATGAGCTTGCGTCCCGGGGGATGGAAACCAGGACCGGCAGCGCCCACCGTTCTGATCATGTGCTTGAATGCCGCGTGTTCTGCCACATGGGCAGGCTTACGTCCGTCGCTGTTGGTAGACTCCTTCCTAGAACTAACCAAACTACTCTCGGTCAGATTCGAGAATGCGGCTAGCGTGTGACTTGCTGCACGGTTACGCGACTGTGAAGCCCGCTCTTTCTGCATAAGATGCTCCTGAATACTTGCTTTTGCTTCGACCGTGACTTTCTTGCAATCTCATCTTCTTGGCATTACTTCGACTTGTTGGGAAGAAGTTTCGCTACGCACCCCTTGCAGTTTTCCATCAACGGCAGCAAGCATCCCCTCCCCAACTACCAACAGATCTCCCCGTCATCTGAAACCTAGCACGGCTAAGCCATTCTATAGAGCCTTGTATACCGTTCCCGATCCGCCTTTCCCCAATTAGTCGCACGATTAAGTATCTCGCCCTAAGCCATCCTATAGAGCCTAACGTGTCCACGCTTCCAGACGTCTCGCGACCTTCGTTCCGCAAATACACCGTGCCTACCTAGCCGCGCAGCCCTAACGCGGGATGCGTAACCTCCAAAACGCGAAATGTTTTTTTCCGCGATTTTTTTTTTACCCCTGCCCAGACGACTTTACGTAAACTTACGCGTAAAGCAGCGTAAACGTAAACGTAAACGTAACTGTACGTTTACGCGACCTGTAGGGGCGTAAAAGTGCCAACTTAGCGGTTGACCCGACCTGACCAGACCCGAAGTCGGGTCGCTCCTCAAACCGACGCGATCTGCGCGACCAGAGTTGCGCAGATCTGGAAATTCTGACTAATTGGTCGAATTATCAACCAAATGGACCATTATCCTACTTAGGCTACCTCCCATTTCTACCCTGCATCCAGCTCATTCCTACCACTATTCTACTCCCCACCATGCTTATTAGTACAGCTTAGGGTCTAGGCAGTTCCAGATCGATTTCAATTGGATCAACTCAACCAACACACCTATTCAACAAACAAGCTCAACACCCCAACCCATCCGAATTTCGCCAACACCCCCAAGCCATCCGAATTTCGCCAACACCCCGAACCCATCCGAATTCCGCCAACACCCCCACCCAACCCATCCGAATTTCGCCAACACCCCCAACCCGTCCGAATTTTTGCAAACACCTCCAAACCATTCGAATTTCCGTCAGCGCCCCCAACCCACCCAATTTTCGCCAGCACCCCCAAGCCATCGGAATTTCGCCAACACCCCCAAGCCATCCGAATTTCGCCAACATCCCCAACCCATCCGAATTTCGCCAACACCCCCAACCCATCTGAATTTCGCCAACATTCCCAACCCATCCGAATTTCGCCAACACCCCCGACCCATCCGAATTTTTGCAAACACCTCCAAACCATTCGAATTTCTGCCAGCGCCCCCAACCCACCCAATTTTCGCCAGCACCCGCAATCCACCCAAAATCTCGCCAACACCCCCAAATAGGCATGAGCAAAACCGGGTATTTACCCGACCCGACCTGGTTTTGCTATACCCGACTTCGGGTCGGGTATTTTCGGGTCGGGTACGGGTCGGGTAACATGCCCAGGACCAATACCCGGACCCGGGATTTGGCGGCGGGTAATTTTATACCCGCCTGGCGGGTCCGGGTACACCCGACCCGGTTTCCTTGATAAGCGGGTAGTATAACTCGTGTTTTCCTACCCTGCTGGGCTAAACCTACGACCTAAAAACGTGAGTCGCGGGAGGCAGTAAGAGGTGCACCAGATCTTTTACAGTTCTGGTGAGTAGGGCGTGAGTGGGGAGGTGGTTGGGTTTTCTAGTAAGGATGGGGTGGTGTGCGGTTTTTGGGGGTTTGATATTTTGACCCCCAGAGTCCATTGGTTGGAACTCCAACCAATGTGGTGCTGTGCGGTTGGCTGGATTCAGGTTGGGTTACAAAATCGATGGGGGGAATTCGATTGGTTTGAATTCCAACCAATTTCCCCCAATTCAACCGCTCTTAATGCATCTGGATCTACGAAATCCAACCCCTACCACTCTACAATGCTCTACATGACCTAGCAGCTCACGTAACCTATGAAATTTCTCTACCAGCGTGACCAATGTTGCGCTGGTTCCGTCGGGTAGACACGCTACCCGATTTCGGGTCGGGTACCCGTTACCCGATGTGTCGGGTAACGTTTCGGGTAACGGGTATCGAATACCCGCCCGAATAACCCGCACCCGACCCGCCGGGTAATTTTCAGGATTCCCGATACCCGACCCGCCCTAAAAGCGGATCCGGGTAACGGGTACCCGATCCGGGTGGGTAGTATGCTCAAGCCTACCCCTAAACCAGCCAAAAAATCGCAAACCCATTTTTCGCCAACACTCCCAACCAACCTTATTTAAGTCGCCAACACCCATCCCGTGACTGGTTTCGCCAACATCCAACCCACATCTCGAGGTTGTGGGTGGGAGGATGAGGTGGGCTAGACACGAGGAGGACACACTAGATCTTGAAATTACGAAATTCATATGTTTCCCTCGGGGAAAAATACTTAGGACGGGTCAAGTCGGGTCAAGTCAGGTTGGATCGACCCGACCCGACCACGGGTAAGAGATGACCCGACCTGTTATGGTCGGGTCGGGTCGGCTCGGCGAAATCCTAGGATCGACCCGACTTGACCCGACCCGACCTGAACCCGACATCGGGTAGGGCAAAGTCGGGTCGGGTCGGGTCGGGTCGGGTCGGGTCGGGTTTATGCTCAAACCTACTTGCACCATGCGCTCCCCCCCGAGGTCGCCGCGCTGGGCCCCCTCCTGGATGCTCATCCGACCTCCTCATCCGCTCTGTCCCATCGCCTCGGGGCGGACGAAGCGGCATTGCCTCCCGCGGCGTTGGCGGCGCTCCAGGCCGGCCGGCGGCAGCCCGAGGGGCCTCAACTGCAGCAGCCCTTCTCTTGGGAGGTTCAGGCTGCTCGCCTAGTGGACCTGGTCGCCGCCAGCCATTCCATGGAGCTGAACCCCCTCTACGGGCACACACAGCGCCTCTACTCCCTCTTGGGCCCCGGCGTCGGGGACTGGCTGCCCGCCATTCCTCCTCTCTCCCCCGCCCTCAGCCTCTCGCCGGGCCGGGTTTCAACTGCCACCGCCTTCCAACTCGGCCTCCCGCCCGCTGCCGGTGCCACGCCGCTGCGACTGCCGGAAATTCCGCAAATCCAGGACAGAGGCGGGATTTACCGTGCACAAAGAGACCAACATGTACACGCCAGTTGAAAACCTGTTCGCAGACCTCTCCATCCACCATCCCTAGACCGGCAAAATCTGGATCTGCGGTGTCACCATCATGATCCAATTACTAAGCACAGGGGACAGGGTGGGCCGCCCGCGTGGGCGGCGCCAAGAAGGAAGACAAGTACTCCATTTGAAACGAATGGGTGGGCTTCCTTCGCCATGCCACCCGAGACATATGGCTGTACTTCTTCCCCAGTGTTCCACTTGCTCCGCCTCGGCGCCCACCTCGCTGCCAGGAAGAGTTTCAACCCGCGGCCCGCCTCCGCAGAGGCGGGGAAGCTGTTCCACGAGTACCGGCAGCCGTGGAGTGTCACACTGCAGCGCGCCCACGCGCTTGCGCTGCACGGCGACACAAACACGGCTCTACAGGCGGACATGGCCGCCGTCACAGGCGTTGTGGAGCCACTAGATGCCGGTTACGTGATCCACATCCTAGAGCCGCCCCCTGCCGCCCCTTAGGGAGGCTGGGCTGTAGCTAGGATATTTTGCCTTACCTCTTCCCTGTATGCATGGCGTACATCAATGCCAAGGACAATTCGAGTGCTGCACACGTGAGAGAGGGTGCTGCACACGTGAGAGAGGGTGCTGCACACGCGACAGTGAGTGCTGCTGTGTGCGAGTGAGGGGCACCTGTGTGCGAGTGAGGGTGCCGCTGTGGCCACATCTGGCAGAGGGAATGTTTCCAGGGAGCTTCAGCTGCGTCCAGTGGCCCTGAATGGCCTCCGTGCCTGCACCAGCCATAAGAGCACGCAACACCCAGGTAGGCCAGCGAGTGGGAGAGACGAGGTGAGGAGGATGATTGAGGAACCAGGCAGGAGGGGAAGCAAAGGTGTTGCGGGCAAGACAATGGCGAACCGATGTGGGGCAGACGGAAGGTCAACACATGACGTGACAGCAGAAATCAAAGAGAGGCGCTGAGGTGGCATGTGTGTGGTGCTGACCTGGCAATTGTGGCTGAGGCGCAAAGGGCGCATCGATTCCTTTGAGCGTCCACAAGTCATTCAACATGGCGCCCCCTGTCCCTGCTCGCAGTGCACTCACATGCACGCACATGCATACACGCGCACATGCACACATGCACACACGCACACATGCATGCACACATACACACACATATGCACACATGCACACACGTATGCACACACCAGGTCACAGAACCAGGTGCACCAGGCCATATGTGCACGGCCTAATATACTTTCGAGCCACCAAATCATCGTACCCGCCGCGTTTTCATCCATCCCCACTCTCAAACCTAGACATATCTTCCGCTGTATCTTGCGCACTCACATCCACCTCTCTCTCTCACCCTTTCACCCGCTCCTTTCATGCTACTCCCCTTCTCGCACTGGTCTCCTCTCACCCCTGCCCTCTCCCATTCTCACCCCGCCTATCACCCCTCTCTGCTCTCACCCCCAGCCCTCTCACCCCTGCCTCCGAACACGAGCAGCCGGTTGTTGAAGACAGCAGCGGTGTGGCCGCAGCGCGGAGGGGGCAGGCTCGCAGGTAGAGGCACCAGCACTTGCTGCCACTCCAGGGACACTGGGAGGGGCGAGGGGAGGGAAAGGGAGGTGAACGCGCACGGAGGAGCGAGGATGAGACGAGGGGAGGGAATTGTGAAAGGGGATGGCAGGGGACGCGGGAAGTGATGACAGCTATTCCACGACGGTGCTTGCTGTGGACACTGGATAGGGACTGCGGGAAGAGGTGTGTGGATCGTTTCTAGAGAAGGCAGGCGGGAAGCAGGGGGACAGAGAGGCAGGTGGGGGGGACACTCAGTGGTGACAAGGGGCGAGGAGGAGGAAGAGAGGCAGGTAAGGAAGCGAGGCGCTGGCATGAGAATATAGACATGTTGCAGCGAGGTGATATACGTGCGCTGCACACAGCTTGTTACTCTATCCAACATGACTGTGCTGCACGCGGCAAGCGTGTGGACAGTGAGCCTACTTGTATCGAGGATGTAGGTGTCATTGAGAAAGCGGGTGCCGTCCCATCCTCCATGGCTGCACGTGACGGGGAGAGCGGCAGGCAGGGGGAACGTGATGCAGGCAGAAGGGAGAGAGAGCATGAGCGGAAGGTAAGGCGTGGGAGGATGGTTAGTGGGAGAGGAAGCGGGGCAAAAGGAAGGAGAACGGCACTATGTGACTCCACTTTCGTGTGCGTTAGTGTGACACGGGGAAGAGCGAGCAGAGAAGGAAGGGGAGAGGGGGTGAGACTGGGAGGAAAGAACAAGGGAGGTGGGAGGTGAGAAGTCAGAGTGGGAGGCCGGGGAAGGGAGGAGGGAAGGAAGAGGGGGCGGTGTATACAGGATGAGGCGAGAGGAGCCGAAGGCAACGAGCGAGGCGAAGTCACGGGGGCATGGAGGAGTGCCGCCACATGGCAGCTGCGCCCACTGCCATGTGTCTGGGGGGGAAGAAGGAGGGAGGGCAGTATGGGATGGACAGGTGGGGGAAAAGGAACGGATTAGCAAGAAGGTCCACATCAGCGGAAGGATAGACCAGCGAGGTAAAACGTGTGGTGCATGCAAAGGACGCAGGAGGTACGAGAAGTGCTGACACGAGCATGCATGGAAGGAAGGGAATGGTGGCAGCAAGATGCAGGCGCACACGAAAGGCGAAGTTGGGACTCACCAGTGTCAAGCATCCAGAAGTCACCAAGTCTGTGGGGTGAGATTGAGGGCGCAAGACAAAGGCACATGAGGCATGGGGCACATGAGGCAAGGAGCACACGAGGCAAGGGGCACACGAGGCAAGGGGCACACGAGGCAAGGGGCACACGAGGCAAGGGGCACACGAGGCAAGGGGCACACGAGGCAAGGGGCACACGAGGCAAGGGGCACACGAGGCAAGGGGCACACGAGGCAAGGGGCACACGAGGCAAGGGGCACACGAGGCAAGGGGCACACGAGGCAAGGGGCACACGAGGCAAGGGGCACACGAGGCAAGGGCACACGAGGCAAGGGGCACACGAGGCAAGGGGCACACGAGGCAAGGGGCACACGAGGCAAGGGGCACACGAGGCAAGGGGCACACGAGGCAAGGGGCACACGAGGCAAGGGGCACACGAGGCAAGGGGCACACGAGGCAAGGGGCACACGAGGCAAGGGGCACACGAGGCAAGGGGCACACGAGGCAAGGGGCACACGAGGCAAGGGGCACACGAGGCAAGGGGCACACGAGGCAAGGGGCACACGAGGCAAGGGCACACGAGGCAAGGGGCACACGAGGCAAGGGGCACACGAGGCAAGGGGCACACGAGGCAAGGGGCACACGAGGCAAGGGGCACACGAGGCAAGGGGCACACGAGGCAAGGGGCACACGAGGCAAGGGGCACACGAGGCAAGGGGCACACGAGGCAAGGGGCACACGAGGCAAGGGGCACACGAGGCAAGGGGCACACGAGGCAAGGGGCACACGAGGCAAGGGGCACACGAGGCAAGGGGCACACGAGGCAAGGGGCAGTCCAAAGCTCAGCGCTTGCCTCTATCTCCATCCAATCACACTCTCTCCCATTGTCTCACTCCCGTCATCCTTTCGCAGCGCCCCTGTGCTCTAAGCGAAATTCACAACCTCCACTCGTATCTTACACCCCCCCTATCGCCTGTGCTCTTGTCCCTCCCTCCGCTGCCCTGTGACGCCCCTGTGTCCAGACTGTTCTCATGCTTGCTGGAGAGGTGCCAGCACGAGCAGTCAGCGCTCATGTGCGTTCACCCAAACCACCACCCTGCTCTCAACCAACGACCCCCGCTCGTCTGAAAATGATGCGTCCCTGCATGCGTCACCTGCCGCCAGCAGGCATTACCACCTCATCCCATGCACCACCTGTGCCTAACTCGCCCTCCCTCTCTGTCCCCCTTCTCTCCCCCACCTCCTCCTCTCGAACCCACCTCTTCCTCTCCCCCCCACCTCTTTTTGCCAGTGCGTCCACCGAACACGAACAGGTTGCCCCCCTCTATGGCCGCAGCTGCATGGAACGCACGTGCACACGGCCGACCTCCGCCCTCCCCCTCGCTACCTCCTCCCCTCGCCCCATCTCCTTCCCCCTTGCCTCCGGCTCCCCCACCACCACCTTCCCCCTGCCCTGTCCCCTCCCCTTCCTTGCCCTCCTTGCCCCCCTGCCCCTCCCGATCCCCGTGCCCCGCCTCCCCTGCGCCTGCCTGCACGGGGCGAGTCCACTCGTTGGTCACTGCCGTGCGTCATGGGGTGGGGGGGGGACAAGGGTGTGGGCGCGGAATGGGGGGAGACTGTGAAAGAGCTGAGAGCAATGAGAGCTTGGGTGCACACGGCACAGGTGTGTACGAGCGCGCAGTGAAGAGCGGCATGGAGGCGCCGTGATGCTGGAGTCAGGACGGACTGCAGTCGGTCGGATGGAGGTGGCGGACACGCAGAAGCAGAAGGGAGGACACAGCAACCCAAGCGACATGGACCTACCAGCACACATTCTCCCTGCCCCTCCCCCTACAACCTCCCCCCCCTCCACTCCCCTTTCCTTCCCTCCCGGTTCTTTTATCGAGAGCGAACACCTGTGACGAGTACGAGCACCTGTATCGAGTACGAGCACCTGTATCGTGTACGAGCACCTGTATCGAGTACGAGCACCTGTATCGAGTACGAGCACCTGTATCGAGTACGAGCACCTGTATCGAGTACGAGCACCTGTATCGAGTACGAGCACCTGTATCGAGTACGAGCACCTGTATCGAGTACGAGCACCTGTATCGAGTACGAGCACCTGTATCGAGTACGAGCACCTGTATCGAGTACAAGCACCTGTATCGAGTACGAGCACCTGTATCGAGTACAAGCACCTGTATCGAGTACAAGCACCTGTATCGAGTACGAGCACCTGTATCGAGTACGAGCACCTGTATCGAGTACGAGCACCTGTATCGAGTACGAGCACGTCGTCCAGGAAGTCCTTGTCTTGCAGCCCCCCGAAGAGCACCAGCTTGCTCCGCTTCACCAGCACCGCCACGTGCCCGCTGCCACCGCCACCCGCCGCAGTACCAGCGTCGCACGGCCACATGCAGGACGCAGGGGCGCGCGGAGAGCGGGAGGAAATGGCGAGAGGGGGAAAGGGGCATGGTGGGGAGGAGGCGATGGGGGGGGGGGGCGGGGAAGGGAGGGGAGGGGGGTGGGGGGGTTGTGGAAGGGAGAAAGGGAAGTGGGCGTATGGCAGGGAGGTTAGTGAGTGAGAATACAGAGGCGACAACAGGCGGCATGCGAGTGGGGAGGTGCGCGTGGGCGACGCTACGAGCGGCGGCCATGCGCTTGGCTGGACTACGGCCACGCCAACACTATTCCGCGCACCCGATCCGGCACGCTCGCTGGGGAGAGAAGCAAGGCTCGATGCGAGGCTCGATACGGGAGAACAAGCGCAAGGGACAGGCAGCGGGGCGAGGGACGCATGGCGAGGGCGGCGCGGCGAGGGCGGCAGCACCTTCTAGCGGAGGGCGGGTCGCCCGAGGCCATGGTAGAGGCGTGTTCCACCCATCGCATCATCGCACCGCCGCCCTGCCCTCGCCGCCTCGCCTCGCCGCTCCTGCTGGCAATCCGCCTCCCGCGCACTGCGGCGAGTCAGCAAAGAGCACACAACGCGGTAGGCAAACTCACGCCATTCAAGGTGCAGCGGGCAGAGCTGTGTGAGGCCTCGTTGGAGAGCCAACAGGCTTGAAACACAAGATGTGGACATTAGGGCGTGTCCCCAAAAATCGTTCCCGTTTTTGACACGCGGAGCCGTTTGACGGTACGCAATGTGAATCGACTTTGAAACAGATCCCGATTTGGGAGCAGGTCCGAAATGAAGGGTGCAGTTCGAAAGACCAGCACGGAGACCAGCACAGGCATAGGATCGGGTACGGGGTCCCTCCATGCGAAACCCATGGGATACGCATGTAACATGAGGGCCAATCGGCGCAGCGGGAGTAGGTTCTTCGCTAGCAACGTGCGAGGCTGCAAAGTGTCGGTAGAGAATTTCGCTAGAGGTGGTGCTGGTACTGGTTAGCAAACTGGAATTTTGTGTGATCTATTTTTGTCGTGCGGAGGTACCTGGAAACCTGCGCTGGTGTCCGCTAATTTCGGGTAGGAGATGGGCGTGTCTTGTTCGGGCATGTTTTATGGTTACAGACCTAAAACTGGTAACTGAACTCGCTGTTGAACACGGCTCGTACTTTAGTGACACGCCCGCGTACAGGCGTGTGGCAAGTAGAGTTCCGCTCCACTCCGCTCCCCCGAACTTCGGGAAGGGAGATCCGTTCGTTTTGGGGTGCACCAGCACACTTGCTCTTATGAATGAGGGTTGTTGTAAGGATATTCCCTTTTCCTTAGCGGGCTCGACTATAGCGCGTACGCCCTCGACTCTCGGAAGTCCAGGCTCGGCCAACTTCTTCGGTCCCGAACCACTTTGCGAACCCAAACCTAGACGCGCAGCGCTTCCGTGGCTTTCGCCAACCGAATCGCCCCAACCTGTTCGCGTGGTTCTCGGCTAGCTCTGTTCGTGCCTATAAATGCATAGGCCCTCATTTGTATGGACACTCTTGAATCACGACTCCTTTATTACACTACGTGTTATTACTTTGATTAATTCATAACAGCTGGTATCAGAGCCCCGTTCCTGGCCGCTTAGTCTTCCGTAGAGTAGTCCGATTATATCGGGAGAGGACCCGACAGAATATAGGGTTGCCTAGCGGTTGGTAGGTGAGCTCGTTAAAGCTCCTCCAACTAAAAGCGTGTGCACCCTCAGATCTGTCAGGTAAAATTTCCAACATGACTAGTACGCCGGAAACCTTTGCCCGGCGTAGTGTTAGGAACGTGACCCACGAGGAGTTTGACGAGTTGCAAGCCAGGGCGGCTACAGTGACGACACTGCAGGCCCAGCTTCAACAACTCGCGTACAAGTTCGAGACGCTGGGAAGCGGACTTCAGACGCTGCGCAACGAAAACTCGTCACTTCGCCAGACGCGGGGTGAATTGTGTCAGGGGCGGCCTGTTGCCCGAGACGAGGATGATGCGAGCGAAGCGAGGGCGTCGGCGACACCTGAAGCAGTTGAAGAAGTCCACAGCGAGCCGCGGGCGGCCATTAAAATCAAGCCTCCGATGTCCCCACCGTTCAACCCGACCTATGGGACAACTATAGTGAGCGGATGGCTGTTCGCATGGAAATCTTCTTTACAGCAGCATGTATTAATGGCAATGCATCACGTGTCAAGTTGGCTGTGTCGCTGCTGAGGGGACCAGCACTCGACTGGTGGTGCATGCATCTCGACGAGGGAGGAGCTTCGGCAGGGAATCAACGGCGAAGGCAGAACCAATCTTTGGATCGGTTACGATCCGCACGTAGAAAGCGTGGGGCGAAGCGTTGAAGGGCAGGTTCGAGCACATATCCATGCGCGAAAATGCTCGCACAAAGCTTCGGATGTGGAGACAGTTGGGCCCTGTCCAAGAATACATGGCATCATTTCTGGCAATCTGCGACCAAATCGGAGGGATTAGCGAGGACGAGAAAATTGATAACTACGTGGGTGGTCTCAAGCCGGAGATTCCGCAAGAGATCGTCCTGCGAGCTCCGACGACCTTAAAAAAAATAGTTCGCATGGAAGACGCGCTAGACGCACGACGTGGACTCGCGTGAGCGGGTTTTCCGGGAGGGAAATCGCTTTCGAGGCCAGCCCCAATACACATCAATCAATGGCGTGGACGTGTTTGCAGCCCGAGTATTTTCGGGGACCTGCTTTCACTGCAACCAGCCGGGTCACATGGTGAGGACTGCCCTCAGCTGAAGAAGAACTTACCTAACGACAAGAAGCAGTCGGGAAATGGAGATTGTCACTAGCAGATCGGCCACCTACTGACTTGACTGCGTCGCCCAAACACCAACACCCCCATCAGGTTATAGTGCCGATTTGGGCTATCGACCATTTCTGGCTAAATAAGGGGGGTGAGCCGGTTGATCGCCCTGTGCTGGTTGAAGGGAGAGTTGGAGACACCCGCATCAAATTATTCGTTGATGGCGGGGCAAGCCACTGTTTGATGGATGTGACGAAGGCGAAAAAATTGCGACTGCAACTGGAGCGGTGCATGCCTGAAATCGACGCGCGATTGGTCGACGACACACCATTGGCAATTCGGGAGCAAGTACCTCACGTGCGAGTTACGTGCGGCGAAAATTTCAGCTTCACGATGAAGATGCTGGCGACAACTTTGGACGGCTGCGACATGCTGCTGGGACGCGATTGGCTGCGCGAATACAATCCGAGCATCGACTGGCGGACGGGCGAGTGCCACATAAAATGGAGTGGCGAGTGGCGACGACTTCCCAAGTGGAGCTGTCAAGATTTGACCACATCGACGGTCAGCGCGGTTACGATCAAGCGAGCTACGATTCGAGGGGCGCAACTGTACGCCATCCGATGGATCGCATCCACGGATGTCGACACGCCACCCGACATCGACAAACTCTGCGCAACAGTCCCGAACGATTTGGCGAACGTCATTCGAAAGTACGCCGACATTTTCCTGGACGACCTACCGGCGGGTTTGCCACCTGAGCGAGACCATGACCACAAAATCGAGTTGGAGCCTGGCGCGCAACCGACTATGGAGGCTGACTCAGCCCGAGCTTGATGAACTTCGACGCCAGCTGGATTACCTGCTCGAGAAAGGTTTCGTTCGCCCCAGCACTTCCCCGTTCGCAGCGCCGATCATGTTCACCCCGAAAAAAGATGGCGGTCTACGGATGTGTATTGACTATCGCGCCTTGAATTGGGTTACCATCAAGTCCCGCTACCCAATCCCGCGTGTCGACGAACTCATCGACCGTGGGGCCAAGTTCTTTTCAAAAATTGACCTGCGAGGCGGTTACCACCAGATACGAGTGAACGAAGCTGACTTCTACAAGACGGCGTTCCGGACACGGTACGGGAGTTATGAGTACACGGTTATGCCTTTTGGCTGAACAAACGCGCCCTCGACATTCCAGTTGACGATGAACGAAGTTTTTTGGCCGCTGCTGGATAAATGCGTCATCGTGTACCTCGACGACATCCTGATATACAGCACTACCCGGGAACAGCACTTGAAGGATTTGGAAGTAGTCTTCTCTCTCCTGCAGCAGCACCAACTCATGAACAAAGGCTCTAAGTGCAAGTTTCTAAAACAAGAACTGGAGTTTTTGGGCCACGTTATTTCCATCGACGGAGTTAAAATCGACCCCACAAAGATCGCAACAATACAAGACTGGAAGCTGCCGACTAATCTCCATGAACTTCAAAGTTTCCTGGGGTATGTAAATTACGTTCGCCGGTTCATCTCGAACATGGCGGGAATAACTTCCCCTCTCAAGGATCTCCTGAAGAAAGGCAAGTTTTATGAGTGGGGGGGAGAGCAGCAGGCTGCATTCGAAATGTTCAACTTTTCCTGACTACACCGCCGGTTCTTCGAATTGCAGATCCTCACAGTCCGTTCGAGCTCATCACCAACGCTAGCGACCTGGCTGTTGGCGCAGTACTCTTACAAGACTTCGGCGAAGGCCTTCAACCCATCGCCTACGAGTCACAAAAGCTGAATCCGGCCGAGCGAAACTATCCTGTCCACGACAAGGAGTTACTCGCCATTGGTCACGCTTTCAAGGTTTGGCGCTGCTACCTGACGGGCGCTGACGTGATAGTCCGAACAGACCACAAATCGCTACAGTTCAACTACACAGTCACCTACAAACGGGGGGTTAGCAATATCGCCGACGCACTGACCCGCCCTTCAGTCCACACCGCCGCAGTCCTAATTACCCAAGCTAATCCGCTGCTAACTGGTCTATTCACCCACGGATACAGTACCGATCCATTCTTCACCACTAACAGTCATCCCCAACTAACGGTCAAGCAAGGGGCCTACTACCTAAAATCCGGTACCAATCGGATTTGGGTTCACGCCTACCGTACCCTACGCGAGCTACATCATAAAGGAGGCACACGACTCGAATTTCTTGGGTCACTACGGCATTGACAAAACTGCCAAATTACTGAGCCGTAATTACTTCTGGCCTGACTTGCCGACAGACGTACAACAGTATGTCACCTCCTGCGCCACGTGTCAATGCATGAAGTCTTCACGGCTTCGACCTGCGGGATTATTACAACCGCTCGAGCCACCCAGCCGACCCTGGCAACAGGTGACGATGGATTTCGTCACCGGCCTGCCAGCTAGTTCAAGCGGTAACGACGCGATTCTCGTCGCCGTTGACTGGTTGACCAAGTTGGCCCACTTCGCCGCCTGCAAGACGACAATTACTGCCGAGCAGACAGCGAAACTGTTCCTCACGAACACGTGCGGCTACATGGCATCCCTTCGGCAATCATCAGCGATCGCGACCCACGGTTCACGTCCAACTTCTGGACAAAAACCTGGCAGCAGTACGGCACACGTCTGCATCTTTCCATGGTGTACCACCCGCAATCGGACAGCCAGTCTGAGCGCACCAATCAGACGATGGAGCAGCTGATTCGCACGACGTGCAGAGACACGGCCCAATGGGAAGACTCCCTTCCCTTGATCGAGTTTGCATACAACAACGCCCCATCAGACCACGACTACCCAGTCCCCATTCTTCCTTAATTACGGGATAGACCCGACGACCCCTCTATCGCCACCGATAGAAAATCCGGCCCCAAGATCTGAGCAGTTCATCGA